GAACACATAGAACGAAAATTAAGGCTGATGTAAGTTGTCATGAAACAAGATAGATAATTATAGAACAAACACATCATAATATACATATCACCTGTCAATTCATCATACACATTGAGAACAGGAATATATTGTTGTGTTTTTTGTTTTGTTTTTGTGAAAAAGCATTATATATTGTCATCCTATATGCTCACTGTCTCCCACGAGTTTGAAATAGTGTCTTATTGTCGGGGTCATCTCGTAGGAGAGGTTGGTAATCATAAAGCATATATATATATTGTCTTACTGTCACGTTCTAAATCTGTCTTTTTTCGGTCGAGGTGGTTTCCTTGTAAAATATATCGTCTTGTCACCAAAGATTGACTATCAGTTGAGGGGGGGGGGGGAGGGATATTTCACACAAGGGGACAAATTACGATAGGATTACGTGTGTGTTATGTTTCCCTTTTTTGTCACCACTTGAGCGGGGGAAATATATTAGCTAGATAATGGGGATGTTTTTATATAATTATCAAAGCTAAAAGAAAATAAAGGCCTACTTTTAAAAACACATAATATAGGGGACGCTACCGTTCTGCTTAATGCCTTACGATCGCAAAATCGTATCTTATTTGACTTAAAATCTTGAAAATATTACTTCCTTACATTATTATGAGGAAAAAAAATTGTGCAATATTGTATATTTACGAAAAGTTTGAATATTTTATATAATCTAACTCCCTACAACCAGGGGCGTCCCCAAATGGGGTGTGGGGGTGCGACACCCCCGCCTGTCAGGATATTGTCCGGAAAAGGAGGAAGAAAGAGAAAAAGAGGAAGGATAGGAAAGAAAGGAAAAGAAAGAAAAAGAAGAAGAGAAAAAGAGGAAGGATAGGAAAGAAAGGAAAAGAAAGAAAAGGAAGAAAAGGAGCAAAAGAAGAGGAAAAAAAGAGAAAAAGAAAACAAAAGAAACAGGGGATGAAAGAGAGAGAGAGAGGGGGGGGGGGTAAGAGCCTGAGAGAAAGGGGGTGAGTAAGAAAGAGGGGGTATGTTTGGTGGAGTCGCCACGTCGAGGGAGCAAGAAAGATACGCATAGATATAATTATATAATTAATGTCTGGCTACACCATTATCTCGGACACATGTAGCGGGAGGCGGGCACATCTACAGGGAGGTGATTGTTAGACAACGTCAAACACGTAGAATCCAAAGAAAATCAATGAAAAGAAGATAAATTGATATTTATGAAACTCATTTGTATCTTAGGACCTTTATTATATTCATGACATGTCGGAAATTCAATATACAACACTAGTTGTATGCCTCACTACATTTCCCCTATCTCGGGCACATGTAGCGGGAGGCGGGCACATCTACAGGGAGGTGCATGTTTTGATAACTTAAAACACGTAAAATCCAAGGAAATCAATGAAAAGAAGATAAATTGATATTTATGAAACTCATTTGTATCTTAGGAAGCTTTATTATATTCATGACATGTCGAAAATTCAATATACAACACTAAGTTGTATGCCTTACTATATATCCCCTATCTCGGGCACATAGCGGGAGGCGGGCACATCTACAGGGAGGTGGTGGTTTGACAACGTAAAACACGTAGAATCCAAAGAAAATCCATGAAAAGAAGATAAATTGATATTTGTGAAACTCAATTGTATCTTAGGAAGCTTTATTATATCCATGACACGACGGAAATTCAATATACAACACTAGTTGTATGCCTCACTTCATTTCCCCTATCTCGGGCACATGTAGCGGGAGGCGGGCACATCTGAGGGAGGTGATTGTTAGACAACGTAAAACACGTAGAATCCAAAGAAAATCAATGAAAAGAAGATAAATTGATATTTGTGAAACTCATTTGTATCTTAGGAGCTTTATTATATTCATGACATGTCGGAAATTCAATATACAACACTGGTTGTATGCCTCAATACATTTCCCCTACCTCGGGCACAATGTAGCGGGAGGCGGGCACATCTACAGGGAGGTGGTTGTTTGACAACGTAAAACACGTAGAATCCAAAGAAAATCCATGAAAAGAAGATAAATTAATATTTATGAAACTCATTTGTATCTTAGGAGCTTTATTATATTCATGACATGTCGGAAATTCAATATACAACACTGGTTGTATGCCTCAATACATTTCCCCTATCTCGGGCACATGTAGCGGGAGGCGGGCACATCTACAGGGAGGTGGTTGTTTGACAACGTAAAACACGTAGAATCCAAAGAAAATCCATGAAAAGAAAAATTGATATTTGTGAAACTCAATTGTATTTTAGGAAGCCTGACGGAAATTCAATATACACTAGTTGTATGCCTCACTACATTTCCCCTATCTCGGGCACATGTAGCGGGAGGCGGGCACATCTACAGGGAGGTGCATGTTTTGATAACTTAAAACACGTAAAATCCAACGAAAATCAATGAAAAGAAGATAAATTGATATTTATGAAACTCATTTGTATCTTAGGAAGCTTTATTATATTCATGACATGTCGGAAATTCAATATACAACACTGGTTGTATGCCTCAATACATTTCCCCTATCTCGGGCACAATGTAGCGGGAGGCGGGCACATCTACAGGGAGGTGGTTGTTTGACAACGTAAAACACGTAGAATCCAAAGAAAATCCATGAAAAGAAGATAAATTAATATTTATGAAACTCATTTGTATCTTAGGAGCTTTATTATATTCATGACATGTCGGAAATTCAATATACAACACTGGTTGTATGCCTCAATACATTTCCCCTATCTCGGGCACATGTAGCGGGAGGCGGGCACATCTACAGGGAGGTGGTTGTTTGACAACGTAAAACACGTAGAATCCAAAGAAAATCCATGAAAAGAAAAATTGATATTTGTGAAACTCAATTGTATTTTAGGAAGCCTGACGGAAATTCAATATACACTAGTTGTATGCCTCACTACATTTCCCCTATCTCGGGCACATGTAGCGGGAGGCGGGCACATCTACAGGGAGGTGCATGTTTTGATAACTTAAAACACGTAAAATCCAACGAAAATCAATGAAAAGAAGATAAATTGATATTTATGAAACTCATTTGTATCTTAGGAAGCTTTATTATATTCATGACATGTCGGAAATTCAATATACAACACTGGTTGTATGCCTCAATACATTTCCCCTATCTCGGGCACAATGTAGCGGGAGGCGGGCACATCTACAGGGAGGTGGTTGTTTGACAACGTAAAACACGTAGAATCCAAAGAAAATCCATGAAAAGAAGATAAATTAATATTTATGAAACTCATTTGTATCTTAGGAGCTTTATTATATTCATGACATGTCGGAAATTCAATATACAACACTGGTTGTATGCCTCAATACATTTCCCCTATCTCGGGCACATGTAGCGGGAGGCGGGCACATCTACAGGGAGGTGGTTGTTTGACAACGTAAAACACGTAGAATCCAAAGAAAATCCATGAAAAGAAAAATTGATATTTGTGAAACTCAATTGTATTTTAGGAAGCCTGACGGAAATTCAATATACACTAGTTGTATGCCTCACTACATTTCCCCTATCTCGGGCACATGTAGCGGGAGGCGGGCACATCTACAGGGAGGTGCATGTTTTGATAACTTAAAACACGTAAAATCCAACGAAAATCAATGAAAAGAAGATAAATTGATATTTATGAAACTCATTTGTATCTTAGGAAGCTTTATTATATTCATGACATGTCGGAAATTCAATATACAACACTGGTTGTATGCCTCAATACATTTCCCCTATCTCGGGCACATGTAGCGGGAGGCGGGCACATCTACAGGGAGGTGGTTGTTTGACAACGTAAAACACGTAGAATCCAAAGAAAATCCATGAAAAGAAAAATTGATATTTGTGAAACTCAATTGTATTTTAGGAAGCCTGACGGAAATTCAATATACACTAGTTGTATGCCTCACTACATTTCCCCTATCTCGGGCACATGTAGCGGGAGGCGGGCACATCTACAGGGAGGTGCATGTTTTGATAACTTAAAACACGTAAAATCCAACGAAAATCAATGAAAAGAAGATAAATTGATATTTATGAAACTCATTTGTATCTTAGGAAGCTTTATTATATTCATGACATGTCGGAAATTCAATATACAACACTAAGTTGTATGCCTTACTACAGTATCCCCTATCTCGGGCACATGTAGCGGGAGGCGGGCACATCTACAGGGAGGTGGTTGTTTGACAACGTAAAACACGTAGAATCCAAAGAAAATCCATGAAAAGAAGATAAATTGATATTTGTGAAACTCATATATAAGGGAGCTTTAATGTTACATCCGTGAACTCTCGGATATTGAATATAGAATACTATTTTATTACACTAACTCGATCCCTATCTCCATCGGGCACATGTAGAGGTAGGCGGGCACATCTACAGGGAGGTGGTTTAGCCGACGACCGAGTTGGTCACTTGTTTTTTGGAGTTAAAAAGCGACCAAAAGAATCGCCAATTTTGTATAAACTGTATCAAAAATGTATCAAAATCCACACTAAATAAATTTACTTAACACTCAAGCACTTCTACCTCATAATCACGGACAATACAAATGTATAATGGTAAGATTTTGCCCTGATTTGTGTTGCACGTATTACCTTCATTGAACAGTCATGACCCCAATTCTGCATGTACGTACGTACGTACGATCGTACGCGCGCAGTCAAGAATATCAATATTCATGACTTGACAAGACGTCACTGATATGCATATTCATTGACCTCCTTGTAGATGTGCCGGGTTGGATTCTTGCAATAGATAAGACTTGGAGTCGCCTGGCGCAGGCTTGGGCCTTCACGCCCGGTCTACAGGAGCGCGGAGCGGGGCGCGGCTCCGTGGAGCTTCTCCCTTCATCAATCGCGAGGCGGTAAACAAGATGAATGGGAAATTAAAGAGAATCGCTGAAACTAAGTATTTATAACAAAATCAATATAACAAAACAAGTAAATCTCTTTTAATTACCTACATGAAGCGTTTCCAGGGTATGAAGACCACCAGTGAATTAACTTGAGGGAATTATAGGCTATTTCCGTCCCCTATCAATTATGTTTCGTTCTCAGCTCAGCTCAGTCCATCAATTTGGTTATGGAACGCTAGATCTAGTACATAGACATAACTTATGTGATCAAGTATGGATTTTGAGGGGGGGGGTCGAGGAAAACCACCCCCTCCAGCTTGGCAAATAATATTAAAATCGTATTATTAACTTTCAAAGCAGGAAAGACAGCAATTGCAACGCTAACAATGTAATAAATGTCAATAATTTGATCACACATCCCGCGTTCCATACACTCAATAGCAAAAACACGATTATGCACAACACAATGCAACGCGTACGTTCTAGATCTACGAAGAATTACTGAAAAATTTATGTTATCCATTCTTGTCTGTGCAGGATAAACACAGAATCCAACAACATGTCTTTTGAATGGATGAAAAGAGATGTGCCTGTCATTACTGATGTCAGTAAATCAGAGTTCTTGGATGTTATATATCAAAAGGTAATGATCATCACAATCAAGTCAATTCGCAAAATCAAATGCACAAATTAAAAAATATTTTTAAAAAAAGGTCCCATGCCATGGGCCCATTGGCTGGCCATGTCTGCGTACGTACCGGTACTTATTCATTTTACATACAGTTGGAGCCATGCATGGGGGTTGGGGGGGGGGGGGGTCGAATTTGAATTTGACGTGAAAGAAAGGCAAGCTTGTGGATAAAAGATATTAAACTTAAAGATTTCTCACAATTTTTAATAGAGACGGATATAATTGTTGGTCACATGTTGGTTGCATGTATAGTAGGGTGTCTGATCGCGCACCCGATGTTGTGTGCTAAAATTCTTCCCATAGAGATTACACGCATCCCTATGCAGCCTACGTGCATTGCGCGACCATGCAAAAAAAGTCAATTTTTTTTTTTCAAATCGAGATTCAAACCTTTATCAGTTGTGATCCTGAAGGTGATAATCAATGAATGAGGTGTCATATGAAAGAGCAGGTGAATTCCAATATTTCCAAAGGGGCGTAGCCCCCGAAATTCTAAAAATATCTTGGTCAAAACAGCAATTTAAACATTGTGTCCTGGCTAACTCTGAGGTTTGTCACTTTTGAGATATGACGCCCCGATCGATAAGTAGTCCCAGTCCTAAGGAACAATTCTATGTGATTATATTTTCGCTAGCCCCCAGGGATCACAACTGATAACAGTTTAAAAATACCCTTCTCGCTATTTGGTGGATCAGCTAATTAGGAGGCGTGCGCTCCGCTCAGTCCAAACCATGGTTACATCGCGTAACATCTCCGCGCACGAACGAAACCCCAAATTCAATTACACATTATAATGACTGAAATTATGGTTGGCAATTCCCTCGATAAACCCGGAAGTGAATACACGTTATAGTCAATGGCAATATCGCGGAGACAACGTGCGTTGTCTCCGCGATATTGTCATTGACTATAACGTGCATTCACTTCCGGGTTTATTGTGCGACGAACGCCAACCATACTAGTCAATCGCACATGTCGCGGAGACAGCGTAGCTCAAGCTGCAAGTCGCGGATTGGCTTAGCAGCATGCGTACGATATGCATACGCTTGCATATCGCGCGATACAGCTGTTTGGCTAAATTTAGCAAAACAACATCACTCTGCGTGGACGTCTTTTTCGTCGATTTTGACCAAAATGATATGAATATACCAGCGTGTTGGAGGGGCTGTAACTTTTGATAGAAACATCGGTGAGACTTGAAATTTGAAATGTATTATTCTGATAACATTTTTAATTCAAATATCAAACAAAAATGGTGAAAAACGATCCCAAATTGAAAATTGAAAAATCGTTCAGACACCCTATGTATAGACTCTATGATACTCTAGACTTCTATGACTAGTCTAGATCTAGTCTAGATCTATTATTAGGGGCGCTGGTCCGAGAATAAGAATCGTCTTCATAAACGAGGATCGTCTTCGTAAACACAGACCAATGCGTCCTCAAAAATAAGGACCGTCTGCATTTTTGCAGACGTTTCATATTTTTGATCGGTGCATTGGCGATGCAAAAAACGGATTCTGCAATGATTTTCTTGATGCATTTTACATTGACATTGTAGACCTCTACAGAGACTTTCACATTATAAGCAATAAATCCTTGGGAAGACGGACAACCCATAAAAGTAGACGGTGAACTAGTCTAGGGTTATATTCCCCCGGGGAATCCATTTTTGCCATCGCCAGCAGGCCGTTCTGTAACATGAAACCCCCAGAGCGCCGATGAAAAAAAAAGTCCTCAAAAATGCAGACAACCCTTATTTTTGAGGACGCATTTTGTCCTCGTTTATGAGGATATCCTTGTTTATGAGGACGATCCTCATTCTTGGACCAGCGCCCCTACTGGTCTATGTTAAGAATTCCTTGGTTAAATGTGTGTGTAGGGTCTATGACGTATGCGGAGACATGTACATGAGCCTCTATTAAAATAGTCTAGCCATAGACTATATACTAAATATAATTATCTTATTATAGTCTACATGGAGTATTAAAGTTTATTTATAAGTAAAAAAAGAGAGAGCCGAGACTTTGTGAGAGTGAGACTGGTTGAACCACTCTGGAAGAAGGTGAAGATGATGTTGATGATGTTAATCAGTTGATGATGAAGAAGAAGATGGAGGAGAGGAAGGAAAAGTAGAAGAGGACAAGAACAAAATTCAAACTAAAAGAGGGGGGGGGGGCAGTTTGGCATTGGTGTGATGACTGGTGTAAAGCTATAAATTTCAGACGCTAGACGTAGCATTTTCAAAGTGCATTAAAATTCACTGTGGAGTAGAAGTGGTGTGCTCACTGTGTGCTAGAATAAATCTGATGACCGAGGTGATACTAATATTTGAAAAGGCTAAAGTGCTTATACTTGTTAGAGACGTTATTCCATATTGAGGGCTATATTATAAAGAAAGAAAAAATATTAACATAATAACATTTTACACTTGGACAGACAAATTAAATGTAATACTCTTTTCTTCATGTAAACAGAGGAATCCTGCAGTCCTGCGAGGGGTAGACATCGGACCATGTGTTGAGAAGTGGACAGCAGAATACCTTGCTTCACAAGGAGGTGACAGAGAGGTCAAGATTCATGTCAGCCCTGGAGCAAAGATGGACTTCATCAACAAGAATTATGCCTATAGGTAGCATGCTTGTTTTTAATTGGGAGCATGACTGTAAATCTTGGCCCAATTTATTTTTAATATTCATTCAATGTATTGCTTTGATTAATTATTTTCTTAATTATTTCAAAAAATTGATTATTGTACATTATATACCAATGTGAGTTAGATTGTCTTCTAAAGAAATCTTGAGTTTTATTGATGACAGCTAGAAATGAAGCATTTCTTTGTCCCTAAATAATCGGAATGTTGAAGTGTGTGCGGTTAGTGGTACTGATAGTACTGTCACGGTGACTTCTAGTTTGTCCCTGGTTTACTTGTTAAATAGATATTTGATGGATTTACTAAAATATAATTAAAAAGTCAGACTAAATTTAGCTTGTGTTTAGAGAACTAGTCAATTATTGATGTTATCATGTTTTTGTGTCATATCAATATACAGAAGCCTGCAATTCTGTGAGCTTATACATCGATGCTCCAAAGAAATCCAAGACGACTTCTTTTTTCAAAAGGTAGGGAAACCTTTGTAGTACCGGTATCCTGAATCTGGTATTAATTCAATACAAGTTGATTCTGGCTGATTGACTTAAAAGAATGGAAGCAGAAGCTGCATTTATCATGTCGACTCGTAATTGATGTTGGCATTTTAGAATGTTCGAAATAAATAGAAATCTCATAACTGTCATAGTTCATAGAACATTCCAGTATTCAAATGTGCTATAAAAGTATAATGTCATTACCTATTATTATGTACGTCCATATACATATACCGGGTATATCTGTTTTTCCCTTTTCTTTCTTTTGGTAATAGGATGAGCTCTATTATCTCAGATCACTTGGTGATGACCCTAGAAAGGTAAGTAAACTTTACATCACTCCTAATTCATTCTTCTTTGACAGAGAATATTAGCAACTAGCACGGAGAAAGAGAGAGAGAGAGAGAGAGAGAGATTATTTTTGAGATGGGCATAATGATAAATCATCTGAGGATTTATCAGTTGGTCATATTTAATATTTACATATAGTTTCTCTCCGTAGATCTCAACACTTCCCATACTGTCGAAAGCAAAATCTGCAGAACTTTTGAATGTTATTGTAATTTACATAGTACTCGTTTTGGGGAAGAATAACTAGTATTTTCTCATCAAAATCAAAAGAGATTCCTGTGCAAGATATATTTTTTTCCCCAATGAATTTAGGGAGGAAGATTCTAAAAAGTCACTGCTAGCATATATATGTATGATCATTGATGACAAAATATCTTAAAAGGAGTAGTTGGATGACGGTGTTTTAGATGAACAGACAAGTGTGTAATTTGATTATTGTGTAATTGAATGTGTTATGATAAGGCATGACTATTCTTATCTCCTGCTTATCACTTTACAGGGAATAGCAGATGTGAAGGCCCAGTTTCCTTCATTAGCAGACGACCTCAAGATACCAGATTTCTTCAACCAAGATCAGTTTTTCTCTAGCGTCTTCCGAGTGGGCTCGGCAAACTTACAGTTGTGGACACATTATGATGTAAGCTAGCATCCACACCAAAGCTATCTTTATTTGTTCAATAACCAAGGCACCTGGTAAAAAAGTCATTGTTTTAAAGAGTTTAAGTTTTTTAATACATGTACTTTGAGCAAGTGCTTTTATGAAATATTTTTTTTTAAAATAATTTAAAAAAAATACTCAAATGGTAATATTATCCAAAGGAGTATAAAAATATACAGTGTTCATGTATGTGATTATGCTTAATCGTAATAACTGCATACTGGTCTAATATCAATGACAATGATGTTGAATTCTGAAAAAATGAATCAATTGTAATTATTCCATCAATTTTGCATTGGCTTATTTATCCTTTCTTGTATCTTTCCCCATTTAATTTTTTTTATATCTTTATTTCTTTGTTCATATTTGATTTTTGAATTTGAAGGTCATGGACAACATTTTGATGCAGGTCAGAGGTCATAAGCGTGTCATTCTGTTTAGCCCTCGGGATGCCAATCACCTCTACCTTACAGGTAAAATGACAATGACAATGCAGGCATACTCTCAATATCTCAGCCTTGTATGAATGCCCCTCACATGAGTAGCCTCATTACTCTGACATCAGCACCATGACAGTGGCTGACCTGACTATACAAAGTAAACTTTTGAAAAGATAAAATTTCTGCTCTAACTTGCACTTGCATAAAGTGCCACAGAAATGCCATCACTACCCCTGAACTGCCCAGGATAGCTGAGTCACATCCTCATCTCTTGATGAAATGGCCCTCTGTGGCCCTTTTAGTTAGCCTCTCTTGCAGGCTGCAGCAACTGTTGATTGCTTGATCATTTGTAAGAAACCTGTAGTACATTTACAAATATGAAGGTAGCTTCGTGCCAAGTGATCTTTTGTGTATTTTGGATTACATTAAAAAAAAAGCTGGGTTCTAAGGAGAAAAAAAGCCGCTTTCCTGTCTATTCATAATTTGCGTGTACTCTTTACTACTTCTGTATCTAGGTGACAAATCTGCTGTAATGGACCTGGATAACCCAGACTTTGAGAAATATCCAGACCTCAAATTGGCAACTCCATACCATTGTCTCTTAGAACCAGGGGACGTGCTTTTCATACCAGGTAAGACACCTTATAAAACAAGCTACCGGTATGTGTGCACTTTTTTTATTGGTATTGTTGTACATACATGTAGATAAAAAGAAGCACTAAAGACAGTTTGTCAAATTTCGTACATGTACATGGACTTGGTAACATTGTTCAGATGAGAGAAAATGGTGCTAAGGTTGTGACTTCAATGCTAGATGTACAATTAAAGATAATCTGAAAGTTTGAGTGAAAACAAACCGTTATTAATGATACAAATTAGGAAAAATGATCTTATTGATTTCTTAATTCTCCCAACTCTATTATTACAATTTAATTACATTTTAGGTGAATGTAAATCGTCACAAAGCAATAAATTGGCTCTATATACCATTCCAGACATTTAAGTGTTGAAAGATTTTTTAAAGTCTGCTTTATGTCTTATTTTCATGGAAAAATGGTTGGGAAAATTCAAAAATGGTTGGGAGAATTTACTGTTAATCACTGATAGAGGGTGTTGCAAAGTGACGCCTTCAAAGAAAATCGTAAATATCTTTGTTGTTTGAGAATTTTTTCAGGATTTGTTTGCATGTTAGAGGAATCGTACAGTAGAGGGAATATAATAAGTAACATTTCATACAAAAATTAAGCATTTTTTTCATCAACATTCAACAATGTTACCGAGTCACTTTAAGTTTGAATGCAGTTTTAGCCACCACAAGGTACATGTACTTGTAATGGCAGATTTCTTCCAAAATAATTATGAGATTGCTCTGTTAGCATGGTCTGTTAAGTGTCTTCATGGCACTCTCTACTTCTCTCCAAATGTTATTTTTTTGAAAACTAATGTACCAAACAGATTATTTTGCCGATGTTCTTCCTACTGTAATATTTTTGTTTATAGCTCCTGTCATGCATAGTGAGTGCGTGAGACTGCCTTGCAGGAAAAAGAAGTTATGTGATATTCTATTGGAGATGACTTGAGTGTTGAGATTTCTTTTGTATGCATTAATCTGTTATGGGCTTCCAGTAGCAGTGGGTTACTATTTATATTGACTTGATGAGAATTCTGTTTGTCTTCCCATCCCTTGCCAATTGTATTGAGCCAAATCAAGATTCTCTTTAGTATAAAGCATAATTTTTCTTCTTAACATGAAGTTGCGTATACTTTTCAATATAGTCACATCATTGTTCAATATTTTGTTATTTCTAGCCCTGTGGTTTCACAATGTGGTGTCCCTAGACTTCAGTGTAGCTGTCAATGTCTTTTGGCGTCATCTCGACATCAGTTGCTATGACAACAAGGATACCTATGGGAACAAAGACCCTGTCGCAGCCAGCAAGGCTCTCCAGATCATCCAACGAGGGGTCAAATCACTAGAAGACCTTCCCGATGAATACAGGGACTTCTATGGACGAAGGCTTGTCCGGGAGATAGAGAAAAAGACTTATCTAGTGGATGATAAAAGATGACGATATTAATGCTCCTCCATCAAAAAATTGTGAAATGAACGTGTTACCTTGTGTCTGATGTCTCAGTTAGAAACACTGGCTAAGAAATTTGAATTCTAGAGCAATTGCCATGAGCACCTAGCAGAGGCGGATTCAACAAACTATCATGATCATTATGATCAGCATGAACTCACGGTTGATGATGATCACAGGGAAAGCGTGGGTCACTGCAATAGTTCTATTATTGTTTTAATAAAGATTAGCAATAAATGAATTTGTGAAGGACAGTGTACTTGAATATATAGATTTTCGTTCATGGATTGCATTCCCTCATGGATAAGTATTCTAATCTTTTTCCCGAAGTTATTTCAACTTTTTTTTTAACGAGTCTAACGGCAGCATCAAAGACAGTAAGACTTCACACATGAGTACATGTAGGCTTGTTGCTGATCCATGCAAAAAATGAATTTGAACATTTTAGCTGGAAAGGGTTTCCCCCACTTTTTGTGTGTGTAGAAGAGTGTCCAGAGATGAGCTTCATACATTAATATTGGTCTAAGTTATAATTCAATAACTTCTTTAGTAGAAAAACAGTATGTTATTCTTCTCATTACATTGTAGATGTCTTGGTAGTTAGTAACATCATGTTCCGGTCATTCCTTGAAAATATATCTGTTCTATAATACACATCAGGAAAAAGAATATTTTCAGTGATTCAAAAAACTTTTGGAGAAGAGAATGAATTAATATACATGCTTGATATTGTTATACTCCGTAAAGATCAACTCTACAGTGTGCTATGGCTTAGTTGCCATTGAAAGATCATTATGTTTAGTTGAAAGAATAAGACAAAACACAAGGTAATCGTTCTAAGCTAGTGACGGAGGGGCATACATATATACTAAGCCCTGCAGATCTTTATACTGTGCAATGATTTCCAAGCAGAATGTTCTTATGATCAAGGATGGTCAGAAGGGACGACTTGGATGAAGGAGAGCATGAAACTGCCCAATCAAGTGGGTGAGAGGTCCCCAAAGGTTGAGTTAGGATGATGGAGAATAATGATGGTAAGAATTCTATTCTCAAGTCCATAGAATAGTAGGATTAACCCTGTGGTGGTAATAGATGGCTGGTAGGACTGTGGTTGTACAATGTATCGTGCATTTGATCCAGAGTACAGGAGTTAAAGCCCTTCTAGCTCCATACAGATGGTACCAAACTTGTACCTGGGTGACGTGAGCAGTGAGGTTCCTCAATGACATGGTGAACAAAATTTATTATTTCTGTGGAGGGAATAATGTGATGATAAGAAGTTCCATGCACATCACTACGTGTCAACAAATGGTGCTGGATAAATGAATAATTTCTGTTTTTAAACAGAAGGCTATGTAGCAAGCAATCTCAAAGGATATGACAAGTACCCTCTTCACCAATGCATTCTGGCAATGGTCATGGAGCCAGGTAATAAAGATAGGAAACATACATTGTTCAATACAGGCTCATTGATATTGAATGGCAGTGAGGGAAATGCAGTCACAGGGTGAATGGCCTAAACGTGACTCCAAGTGAAAGGACTTGCCATACAGGCCTTTATTCTGTGCAATGATAGCCATACAGTATGACTGCATGGACACACAACATTGTCTGATACCAAAGATGATGTGTTCATTATGAGGTCTGTCAGAAGGAAAGGAGACAGAAAAGGAGAATTGTTATTAATTATTCACTTTGTACTACGCCATTAAGGCACTTACAACGAAAATGTACATCTACATACTTGTATGTCACAAATTATTTCACTTATTATAGATTGAAGTGAAATAAATATCTTTATTTGGATAGTTGAAGGGTTTGTCTATATATCATTTGGTTGGAAAATATTTTATTTCATTTAAAACACGGTGTATATTTTTATCTGATGAAACCCCTCAAGGTATTTATGGTTCTTACAGATATATCCAATTAAACATTGTTTGAATAATAAAAGGTTAAAGGTATTCAATTATTGTACTTTATCAATTCGTCTTGTATGTAATTGTTTATGGCCTTCCTGTATACCAGTTGATGTAGATGAGAAGAAGGAATAAACAGCTAATCGATGACTAGGATGTTTGGAAAGGAAAATAGGGAATACAAGTACATTTAGAATTAAAGGTCTTCATCAGAAGAGTGTTTAAATTACTTTTCTGCAGACCTAATATTGTACATGTTGTAAATTGAAGGGAAGAAAAGGAAACAAAGGAGAGAGAGAGAGAGGGGGGGGGGGGGATGAGAGCTATGAAGTGTTGCTAGATTGTGTACAATTCTATTCCATTCAATGTATTTATTTGTCCAATGTACTTTCAACATGGATATTGTTTTGCTCACACGTAATATAAAGGCTCACTTAGAACAGAAATAGAATGCAAAATATGGATACATTTTGGTGTTGACAAAATAGTGATTATACATAATATTGATTTTCGTCTGGTTATGGCTGGTTTCGTTTTCTCAAATTACACAATTTAGCTGGCTTCCTGCATAGTTATAAACGAAAATGATTAACCACTTTACACATAGATTTTAAACATGGGTTTAGTAGGGTAAAAATAAAGAACCATCAAACATCACACATCACACATCACACACATAATTAGGTCATGGTGCAGGTGTAAATATCAAAAAGAAAATTTGAATATGAACGAAAATGTTATGATTAGTATCTGTTTCCCTCTCTATCTATCTCTGTCAGTCTCTTCTCTCCTTTTCTCCCATCATTCTATTTATATGTTCTCCAGCTCTCATTTCTTTGTCCACCCCTCCCCTCTCATGTTTTCTAACTGTATATATATATATCTCTCTCTCTCTCTCCTATGTACTATATCAATGCATCATAAAGCAGGTCCAATAAATACACCAGAATGAATAGAGAACACACTTAGAAAGACTTTTAAAAAAATTATTTGCTTTTGCGTGGGGACTAATATTATTCGTGATAAATAACAAAAATGACAAATGTTTGCATTAATTGTAGGAACATAATGCAATGTTTATTTGTCTTTTAATAACTAAACACGGTCGCGCATAACGTCATATGATCGAGCATCAGGTACTTGTAATCAAAATTGTGTTACACACTACTCATTATAATCATGGATCTTGGAGACAGGAGACGCAAGGGGTGCGATATATCATTTGTTTGTTTGTTTCTTTGGTCTTAAATCCCGTTGACTCCTGATAAATATTATTATTTTTCTTTCCAGTTTGTTAATCATAACCAGTCTTAACTTATTCTTATCAATCATTCTAAATATTATATTTCGTCGTTCCGTTTGATGTGGGTATTGATAATATTCTGGGCCTCTGGCCTACATAAATTCAGAGCAAGAGGAACTTACTTGGGTGGCTCACTAGCATCATGATCATCCCTATGATAGGATCTGCATTGCTCCAATTTTAACTAATTCTTCCACCTTGTCGAAAAACAACGGAATTCTTCTGAAATATTTATGAACAAACGTGCAAGTTTATAGGTTAGGATGTCTTTCCAGATATATGAAATCTTGAAGTCGTGAAGCATAACCACGGCAACAACACATATGGACAGATTTCAAACTCTAGGTATTAATATCGGATACGAAAAAGAACGAAATCTTAGCAATTAGGCATATAGAGTAAGATTGAGTAAGGGAGCGAGAGAGATAGAGAGGTGGGAAGGAAAAAGAAGAGTGTGTGTGTGAGAGAGAAAGAGAGAGAGAGAGAGAGAGAGAGAGAGAGAGAGAGATAATGGGAGGGGGGGTAATGAAATTTAATGGAATATCTTTGGTAGGAGACACAGGTCTAAGGTCGAATATTATTGATCTTCGAGGCATTCGTCAAGTTTGGTTGAAGAGCATTGGCAGTGGATTTAGACTGAATGAGTGCAAGCTGGTTAAGCATGGTAAACATCTTTTCCTTTATGATATCGATTGTTTCAAGTACTGAGTTATTGAACACTAGTAGCTCTCGCCATGACTCCGTAAATTTTCTTTGTAAAATTGCAATAATATTAGAGATAGAATTTAAAATGGATATGCAACTCTTGGACAATCGTGATTTTTAAAGTAAGGAATATCAATATGACGCGTCTACTATAGAAATATTTCGACCTTCTATCATTATAAAAAGTGGATGTATAGAAGCTTTATTTTACTACCATTGATTTAAATTATTCAAACACTTTACATAATGTTCGAAAGTAATAGGGATAGCTTTCCTTTATATATTTATTCACAGTGAATTTTATTGCAACATATCCATTTATGAAATATATATTTTTTCTCTATGTATTCTTCCAGGAAGGGACTTACTTCACATCATGGACGGTCTTTCTTGTCTTGCTCCTCGCTTCTACCTCCACAGGTATACGACGAGATAGTACGTTGGACGTTTACATTTAAAGGGGAAATAAAAACCTATCTTTGACGCAAGGGCTCACGATGCGTTGTTTGCCTGGCGGAGACATGCGTTAGCGACTTGTGCAAGTTTTGACGCATCAATCACTGCTGCAGCTTGTCAGCAAATAACGTCGTGTGTGTAACGGGGACAAGTTGAACAGATATTCTCTTGTAATTCCTGTTGCGCATGAGGTGATATTTCAATTGCGTTATTATGGGCTTGTTCATCCGTTGGAGTAAAAGAGGCCATATGCTAGTGATTTAACGCGTTATTTGAAATGTGATTTTTCATTCACTGATTAAACGATGCCACTCTTACTTGGCTCACCAAATACCACACCATTCGTTGAAGTACCCATGCGTCAATAAGATGACTTTACCAAAGGGGAATGCAGATGTTAATGATCCAGTAGGCCAGAACATTAGGGATTATACCTTTAAAATTATGATTTTGTAATACATGTTTGGAAATCAGTTAGACAGGGTTCGCCAAGCATTAATTAATTGACGGTGGCAACGAAATGAAATAAATTGTGAAAATCTTTCATAGGTTTGATGATATATTCGCAGCTTTAGGGTTATTGTATACGAATAAAATTCGAATATAACGTGAATGAAAATCAACGGCTTTTCTTTTTGTAAACGTTAAAAACGTTTCTTGAAAATGTAAGGGATTTATTTTCCTACATTTGTCATAACAAATCTTTATGCGATTTAACTTATTCGAGACGCATTATCGAATATACGATGTGCAACTTGCACCATCTTCTCCCCAATCAAGCAATTTTAATAAAAAATTTACAGTCCCATTTGCCCGAATTCACAACGGAGGTTAATTGCCGACAAACCTAGGTTTATGTGCGTCATAATGACGCGTTTCGACGCGTTTCAAACTTAGGTTTGTAAATTCGGGACATTGTGTCCGGTATGATGAATATGTTGAAATAATGTGATTGTTAATATCATTAATATACCGGTAGCTGACAAGACAGCCTGATTGTGTATGTTCTGGCTTTAAAACCGTATGACGCACTCGACAATGCATCAATCGTAGGACAAATAATTCATATAAGTAAGAACACATATTTTCTTCGCAATCTTGATATTCTTTCTCGTTAATTCCCCCCCCCCCTATTCTACAAAGCCAACGGATGCAAACAAAGTGAATATTTCTTGAGCAAGGCAATACAATGCGGCTATATTGGTGTACCGGCAAACGGCAACTCGCGTTTATTTGCCAAGCCAACAAGGATGCTATGGGTACCAACCAATCAGATTACAGAAAATCGTCACATGGTGAGCGCTTACTCTGGTAAGTGTCATTATTGTATTGATATCAAGAAAGGGCGTTCATCTTCCATTTAAATCTATTTTTATTTAAACTATTACAATTGGAAACTAGACGTAACCCCACATGTAACTATGTATATACAGTGGGTATATAATTATATCCGATTTTAAAGTTGTAACCTGTGTGCCCTGGAATTAATTTTTATTTCAAAGAGTAACTAATATTCTGTCCAACGATGCTTTATTCATAACTCCGCTGCCACGGACCCCCCACCAAGTTTGGTTGAATCATAGGATGTGGGTCAAAAGCCCTCACACATTGTCGTTCAGACCAAAAACCGTTTCCAATCATATTATGAACTATGTAGGGCTAGCATCAATGTCTCATTACAATTTCTCTTTTTTCTTTGTTGTCATTTATGACATAAACTAATTTTCCTTCAAAAGATATTTTCTTTATCGCTCATGACTATTATATATTATATAGTTCTAACATATTTTCGAGATTGGTCTGTAAGATTAGTCATCTAGATACAGGTCAAATTATCTATATGTTATCTGAATTCTAATTAGTTAATATACCATTTTAGATGTTTCTCATAATAAAACAAATAATAAACACCCCCTTTTCAGATTGAGTTTCTAAAGTGAATGCCATGGCGTCACAGCGTTCCCACGTATAATCTCCGTGGTTTTGAAAGGGTTATATAATTATCAAAGTCTCATCGCTCTCTGAAATCCTGTCACGTATACCAAATTCTAACAATTTATCTCATCTCAGGGAGCCTGCACACTGTAAAAAAGAATTTGTTCATTGGTAATTTTTACTTTTTTTTCCATGTAGAATTTACTTGAAAACATTAGTTTTGCCACTTACAGTACGCACTAAATTTAAGTCTTGCTAACTCAAACTTTCAATTTGGTAGAACATACGTGGAATATTTAAGTAAAATCAAATACATAAGAACTTTAAGTAATTTCAGCTTAATAATTTAGTAATTTTAACTCAAAATCAGAAATTATACGTATTACTCAAACAATTTATGTTGATTATTCTTATCTTTTTAAAGTAAGGACCGATGCAGTGCGTAATAGAAATATTTACATAATTTATGAATATTCATTAAGACCAAAATAAACTCTTTTTTAAATAAAACAATTCTTTTTTGTGGTTGAATGAAAATTTTAAGGACTTTAAAACATTTACTAATTCATTTAACATGGCTAAGCAAAGACAAGACAATTTTTAATTGTTACCCAGTTCAAAACAAATCAAAACTTGATATTTCAGGAAATTGTCAACCAATTTTCCTTTTAAGATGCTACGATCAAGTATATATAAAATTTGGAGCCTTTCAATATGTGTCGAATTGAAGCGTATGTAATAGTTTGTGATGGTGGTAGATATATGTATACGGTTCAATCTTAAATAGAAGTAGTGATAGTGATTAGTGATTAATCTTAAATAGAAGTAGTGAATGATTAGTTGATGTTACTTGTTAGATTAGATGGGTACCAAATCGTGCAATTTGTAATCCTATCATAGCTTTTTTTTAATTATCTAAAATGATTACAATACTTAAATTATTTACGTTAATGTAACTCGATTTAACTGAGTAAAAATTTATTCAGCAAAATAAGTAAATTCTACTTAAGATACCGTAGGTGATATTTACTTAATAAAAATAAGGCAATTCTTTCTCTCAATTTTATTGAGTTATTTCGACTATTATTTTTTTACAGTGCACGTACCGCACGTAGTACGATTAATAATAGATTTCAGCGTATATCAGAAAACGTTTTACTTTTTAAGTTTGAACTGATATACTACTTTTCCGTGATTCCTGATTCATTTTGATTTCTTTTAAAGCTCATCTGTACTAGTTTATAGGAGGGATTAGATCACCCTGCAAGGTCACTGGATAGGTGGTTATCTCATCAACTCAGCTCTCAATTAGCATTAGTAAAAGAGGATCATGGGGGACCAATGAGACCAATGGTCACCGATTATGCATTGTTTACGATATAGAGGGAGCAAGTAGCTACAAGTAGTACAGTGTGGCTTTAAAACTTTCAAAAATCACACCTCCTTTTATTGTGTTATATTCACTTGCTTCACCAAAATTTCTTTGTTCTTTTTTTCATTCTTCTAGTAAAGTTTGCATTTGATCGGGGTTGCGGTCATGTAACTTTGATTTCTCCCATTTTCATCAGCTCATCTAAAATTGTCCGTATTAGCACATCATTTAAGAAGCGTTGTTATGTCAATATTAAATCTGACGGCCAGTTTTGCCCTTGGGCTTGGGCTTGAGGACCCTTGTATTGAGGCCTGTACCTTTACATGACGAAAAAGAATTCGGCAAATCGGCCCGGTTCCTAGTTCACAGAGGTCTGGCAGCATATGCATTTTTTTAATGTACAATATCCTTTTGTTGTTGTCTAGGTTCACATGCTGCTTCGATGATTTCATCGACAACACAGGGTAGAACTGATGAGTCTACCACTGCTCCATGGCGTACGTCACCACCAGCCTCCACCACCTCCACCACCCTGCCCTCGCGGATGCATCCCACCGATCCTCCAACTGCAGTTGATTTTAAGCCCAACTCTTCAACCACTATTCCGACCAAGGCATCCACAACCAACATAACGACAGCAATCGAAGCTGGTACCAGTGGTGAGTCTAAACTTGCTGTATATTTGCCTTTATGCCAATGCTGTGATTTGTTTATGTGAGGGGGGTTGAAAAGATTTTACAAAGTCATAATCATTTTATTTTAGAAACATTTCACTTGTGTATTCGGTATCTCGGTTTGAAACACTATGGAATTACATGTGCAATAAGCATGGTAAGCTTACATCAAAATTAAAGAGCTCTTGAACATTCTTCCTTTTCCCTTTTCCTTTCAATACTGTCTCGAATAATTTTTGATAAAATTCCGATTTCTCCTGTTTTCGCTCATCATGCATGCAACTAGGCACAACAGTCACCACCACGCCAACACAGAGACAGAGTAATACTACTGTAGAAACTAGCCAACCTACAACCGTATCGGCTACCACAACCAATGTAGCTACCACAACAAACATGATCGCCACAACTGCAACGAGCACTACAACTGCCAGGAGCACTACACCTACCAAGAGCCCCACAACTACCAGGATAGCCATAACTGAAATCCCCACCCCTGGTACGTTTACAACAACTTTAACATGACTTATGTATGAAGTGGGGAACCAATTGGTCGGCTAAGCCTGATGGTCTTGCTGCCAAGTCGTATTACAACCCTAACCATATCGTTATTACTGACATATCTTGATCTAAAATATTATATAGGCTCTATATCTAAATAGGGGGAGGCGTGAGTTTGTCTATTGTTCGTCTCATGATCTTCGCCCCTCGAACCGACTCTAATGGATCCTGATTTAAAAGTTGAGATGGGTCTTTCAGCTATAGATGTTGATGTTTCAAGGTCGTTCTCTTGACCTGAATAATAAGATCTTATTGTAACGCAAATTTCAAGTTCCACAAACCACACAATCCTCTCACCCTGGAAATAACCTGCATGCGTACGCATCCACATCGAATTAAATTGAACTTCCTTCTCTTTCTCACCTTATCCCTAGAATGTATCTTCTCCACGAACACCTTCGATAACATCCAATTCAAGTTCCCAAAGATCCTCACCTTCCCCCTTCATATTGATGTCTCCTTCAAGATGGAGAAGAACGCCAGGATTGTTCTGACTCGAGATGAGGCCAAAGAACAAGACCAGGAATATTACGAGATCAGTAAGTACCTGCTTTTGTTTTTATCTCCGCTAGTACTTTATGCATCGCCTTTATGCTAGCCTGTTTATTTAGCGGTATTGTTTTTGGGGGGTTAACTAGTGAAAGATGAACACATATTGTCCTTCTGCAGCTTAATTTCTAAGCTCATTGAAAACAAACAAAGAAAAGACAAAATGGCATGTAGGGATTTATTCCTATTTTAGAATAACGTTTTATTTATTTCTTTTATATTCTTCCCTAACTCTTCTCAAGCACTGGGTACTCTGTATAAACAAAGCCGCGCGACCGTAGAACATTGTAGACCGGGTCCAGGTTGTAGTAAGCTTGAAACCGCAGTCAACGGATTTTTGCTATCTGCGAACGATTTCATTCGGGTGTGGGTGGAGTACGAAACCAGCGGTCGAATCCAAGTCGGATACCACGGACAACCGGCTATGATAGACTTTACCGATAGAGATCCGATCCCTGATATAGCTTACATCGGATTCGTTAACAAGCAAGTGCTTGCTGAGTGGATATTTCATGACTACTGCTAAGAACCTCAGTGACTTCAATAAATTTCTATTCAAAGAATATTTCTTTCCTTTTTAGACATTTTAATTCAATACAATGTGAGTTAGAAGGCGAGGATTCCAGAAAAGACATGCTTACATTAGGCTTGCCTAATATACATTCTACAATACAATGTAAATCAATACTTTTCTTCAGTTTTTAATCTCCACTTGTTTCGGTTTGCATATGATTGATATTAGCAGGGGTATCATGTTATTTAATGCAGTAGCTGTGGTAATAAACCAACATTTTGTCCATTGTTGTTTTTTGTGTTTTCATATAATTATGATGGTCTGTTTGTAACTGATAGGGATATGCACGACTGTTGTACTCACCCAAGTAATCAACATCGACAGTCCTTGTATATTGGTAAGCTTCTTGGTAGAAATAAACATTGTTTGATCCGAATGTGTACCATTTACGTACCTTTTCTTTCATGAATATCTTGCATGAGTATCATTTAGTTTCTGACATGAGAAATTATTTTATGAAGGCACAGCCCCCATGTCGTCAAAATATTTAAAACAATTGCAAATCTTTTTTTTCTTCTTTTTTTTTCTTTCTTTTTACAATGTGGCATCTGGATGCAATATTCTCCTCGGTATTCAATTTCAACATTTTTTTTTCTTCTTCAATTTTGGGTCCAATTTCTTTACAGGAATTTGAAATGTTGGTGGACTAACTAATATAAATAGCCTTTTAGCAACGAAACGATAAGATTAAAGTTAATTCGTAAGCACTATTTTGCTGTTGCACTCAAGTATATTAAGGATTTGCTATTCACTGGGACCTTGAAAATATTGTATGCTGTAATAATATCTCTAAATATGACACCCACGTTTTATACCTAGAACTTTGATGAATGTATTTTCAACTCTGGTCTAGATGTACAGCTTTTATTATTTATTACTGTACAATTTTAGGTAGCAAACTAATATTTAGCAGTAATCATCTCTGAATCTAGAACATGTTGACATTTTCGTGGAACTATTTTAAAGTTTTCGTTTACTTAAAATATAAAGGCAAAGAAGAACATCACAATTTTTTAAAGCGTTCTTACAACGGTTAAATAGTGCCTTATATTTTCCTCATTGGTTAGGCAGATTTCCATGAAGTAATGTTGCCACTGCTGAGTAAGTCAGCTGTTGATAGATAATGTCTGAAATAATTACCATAAGATAAGAGAACAGAAAGTATGTTTATTTTTTAAATTAAAGGGTCAAAACAATTGTAGAAGACTACATCGTATTTAACGTTAAACAATTATTTTGTTAAAGTACCATAGTAACAAGCAAGCAAGCAAACTTTGATAAATTAAATGTATTTTTGCGGAACATGTGCTACAGTTCTATAGTTATAGGAATCTCTGAAACTTGGTTATCAAGTGAAACTGAAGGAAATGTATTTTCTCTTCCAGGAAGTAATATAATTATGAATAATCGACAAGATAGGAGGGGAGGAGGTGTCGCATTGTATGTCCCCACGCAGCTGAATTACCGAGTTTTAAATGAAGTTAATTTAATGAATTATTTAATGGAAAGTGTCTTTGTAGAATTGTTTTTTCCTGGCAGACGAAATGTTATAATTGGGGTCGTTTATAGACCACCTCAAGGTAATGTGAATTTGTTTATAAATGAAATGCAAACTGTGTTATCAAATTCAATATTTTTTTTTTTTTTTTACATAAAACAGTCTTTGTCATGGGTGATTATAATGTTAATTTTCTTCAGCACGATGAGAATGCTACGTTTGTGACTTTTTAAACATGTTTATATCTTTCTCTTCAATGCCCTCAATTACTAAACCTACCAGAGTTACAGACACTTCTTCTACTCTCATTGATAACATATTTAGTAATGTACGGCCTTTACCAGATGCGGGTATTATAACTTCAGATTTGTCTGACCACTTTCCAGTATATGCGAGGATGTCTTTTGGTAGGAATATCCGTAATATTTCTAGTAATAGATATGTTCGAAAAAGTAAACCTACCAGTATTGCTAAATTTAAAGAGGAGTTGTTAGCAAGTGATTGGAGAGAAGTATTACGTGATTATGATGTTGATAGCTCATATGATAAATTCTTAAATACTTTCTTTTTGCTGTATGATAAAAATTTACCTTTATGTAAATGTAATAGTAGAAATCGTAGAACAACCCCTCGATTGCCATGGATTACTACTTCTATATTGAGGTCAATAAATAGGAAAAATAAGTTGTACTATAAGTATAAGATCAGTAAATCTCAGTCTTCTCATAGGAAATATAATATTTATCGGAATACTCTTACTTCAATCCTACGTGCTGCTAAGAAGCAGTATTACTGTGCTCAATTGCAGGCGACACATAATGATATAAAAGGGACATGGAAAGTGATTAGGAATGTTTTTAAGCCAAAGCAGAAAGTGTCTTATGTAAGTAAATTAAACATTGATGGGAATGTAATTGATGATCCTGAAGTTATTGTAGATAAATTCAATGAATATTTTTGTAATATTGGCCAGAATTTGTCGCGTGTCATTCCAGAGTCTCAAAAAACATTTCAATATTTTTTAGAAAACCTTAATCATAAATTATTTTTATTGCCAACGACTGAAGAAGAATTATTTGATATTGTACATTCTTTAAAGAATAAGAAAAGTCCAGGTTGTGTGACTATATAACAAATGAGTTGATAAAAATGTAATTGTTGGTATTGTGCAATTAACCTGTCGTACATATATTTAATCTATCAATGACCACAGGTGTTGTACCCATGAAAATGAAGATTACAAAGGTTGTGCCCATTTTTAAACAGGGTGATGCCCTTATCTTGAATAATTATCGTCCTATTTCTTTGCTGAATTCCTTTTCGAAAATTCTTGAGAAGCTAATGTATACTCGGACGATAAAATTTCTGATGAATGCTAACATTTTATCAAATTTTCAGTTTGGTTTTCGTGAAAAATACACCACCACTCATGCTATTCTACATTTGGTGGATAAGATACCCAGTGCCTTTAGATGCACGCATGCATACAGTTGATGTCTTCTTAGACTACTCTAAAGCGTTTGATACTGTAAATCATTATATTTTAATAGATAAACTGTGCCATTATGGTGTAAGGGGAATAGCATTAGACTGGTTTAGAAGCTACTTAACAAATAGGAAACAGTTTGTTACTTTACATAGAATTGATTCAGATTTGCGGGACGTCACTTGTGGGGTCCCACAGGGATCCCTTTTAGGCCCGCTTTTGTTTATCGTGTATATTAACGATTTTCAACTTTCCGCAAAGATGTTATCATTCATTTTATTTGCAGATGACTCGAGTGTTTTTTTCTCTCATAGAAATCCACAAACTCTTTTACAGACTGTAAACTCTGAGTTGACTTTGTTGATTCATGCAAACAAGTTGTCTTTAAATCTTAAGAAAACTAATTATATGATCTTTAGTAATTCCCTGGGTATATTGCCTGGAAATGTAATGTTTAATGGTGTTGAGATTGAAAGGGTATCTACATTTAAATTTCTTGGCTTGCATATTGATGAACATTTAAATTGGAAGTACCATATTAATAAACTTTGTAAATTATTGTCGAGAAATACTGGTGTAATTTATAAATTGAAATCTGTGTTCCCACTGAATATTGTACGTATGTTGTACGCAACTTTAATCTTGCCATATTTGCACTATGGAGTGCTAGCTTGGGGTAACTCGTTCAAATCTCAAATGGATAAATTACTACTGGCACAGAAAAGAGTAATACGAATTGTTTGTAATACTCACTATCTTGCGCATACAGATGTTCTTTCTTTTTTTTTATAATAGTAGTGTTTTGAAAGTTAAAGATATTTATCATTTACAACTAGGAGCTCTAATTTATGAATTGAATGCAGGTCTACTGCCAGTAGCCTTGGCTAGAATATTTAAGACAAATAACCAAGTTAATAGTTATTCCACACGACAGGCGCAAGCATATCACTTACCTCTTGTTAGAACACAATTTGCCCTTACTACTTTGGGGTCCACTGGACCTAGGTTTTGGAATTCCCTTGAACCAAGAATAGCGCAATCGGTCAGTATTTATGTATGTTAGCGCAAACTGAAGTTACTTTATTTGAGTCGATATCGTCTAGATTTATAGTTGTGATCAATATTTAAGAAAATTATTTGCTATATAGGTCAGCATAATTCTATTCCCGTTTCTCACATCTATTCATCTGTCTGTCTTGTTTAGTTTTTGTCTGTGTTTCAGTCCTGTTGCTCGTAGTATATCCCTGTTCCTCTTGTTTATAGCCATCGTTTAGTAGTCCGATGTTTATAGTTTCTTAGTTGTTTAGTTAGTTTAGTTTGTAAGCATTTAAATGTACGCATTATTCTTATCTGACGAGTTTGTTCTTTTAGGACATACTCATAAGCTACTCATGAGGGACCGTAAATCCACAAGCCTTGCTTTCAACCAAGGTCACCTCATCTTTCTATTGTAACGCCATATTCTGTTTACTTGTTATATTCATGTCATATTTGTAATGTGTGTTATGAAAGAAAGATAAATAAAACTTGAAACTTGAAACTTGAAACTTGTAACTAATGGAAGTATGGAAGGCCTGAATAGAGAGTTAAAGTACAGAAAAGTATAATTAATTCATAGGACCACTCCAAACCCACACAGAATGTTTAAAAAATGTACAGGAAATGAAAGAAAAACAATTCGAAAAGCAATTGTAAAATCTATAGGTTCTGTAAATACTATCTCGCTTGAAAGCGACAAAATGCTGTACGATGTACGATATTTTAACCGAGAGTACACCATTCACGTATATATATCATTGCCAAATTTGGATAACAAATTTTGGACAAACAAGGAAATGAAAAGGAGTAAACAATCTGTCTTAAGCAACCCAAAACATATAGGTGTTAAGTTTGCCAAAAATGAGGGAGGACAGGATTATTTGTTCATAATAAGGCATACAACCCTTATACCCTACCCCCCCCCCCCCCCACTCCGTATCTGCTTCTACTTTTTAACGGTATTATGGTTCCTTCTGGACTTTGAACTGTGGTCATCCTCTGACCGAACTTGTGTCCATATTCGTGGACGTGATGGTCGATAGAAACTAGCAAAGTCTAGAATTATAGTATTAAATGTAGGCCAAGAATATCACTTATGTAGATACACTACACAATGCCAGACGTAAATTATACAATTTAGATGTCTTTATGCATACCCATAAAATGGAAACTATTTCCCACATTACACATAGAAAATTCAGCCATTGAATTGAATTGAAGCATATCGGAATAAGTCTGATAAAGGAGAAAATAAAAATACCGAATTTGTATGGGAAAATGATCACCGTGTTCATGATTATGAAGAAAAAAAAATCTCGTATCACTTTCTTGAATATTTGTTATCATTGTCCATGTAACTTATTTCCATTATACAGTATTAAGAATAGATACACATGGCAGTTACTGATTTCAATATAGTACTAATATTGATTTCTAACAGGTTTATTAGGGTAAACGAAAAAAAACTATCCTTGAAGGTCGTTTCATTCAAACATCACACACATTATTAGTTAGGTCAAGGTGTAGGTGTAATTATCAAGAAGAAAATTACGTAAATGTTATGATTAGTATCTGTTTCCCTCTATCTCTGTTGGTCTCTTCTCTATCTCTTTCTCCCATCATTCTATTTACATGTTCTCCAGCTCTCATGTCTTTGTCACCCCCTCTCCTCTCATGTTATCTAACTCCTTTCTCATCCCTCCCCCCCTCTCTCTCTCTCTCTCTCTCTCTCTCTCTCTCTCTCACTCTCCAATGTACATATATCATACACCGGGATGAACAAAGAACACATTTGGAAAGACTTATGACATACATCTATTTGCCTTTGCGTGTGGACTAATTCGTGATAAATAACAAAATGACAACTGTTTGCATCAGTCGTAGAGAAAATAATGCAATGTTTGTTTGTTTTTTAGTGAATAAACACGGTCGCACATAACGTCATAATTATGATAGAGCGTCTGGTATACTTGTAATCCAAATTATGTTACACACTACTCATTATAACCATGGCCCTGTGAGACAAGAGATGCAAGGCCAAGGGGTGCGATGATCATTTGTTTGTATTTTGTTTCTTTGGTCTTAAATCCCGTTGTCTCCTGATTGATATTATTATATAATATTATTTCCAGTTTCCTTGAATAATAACTTATTCTCATCAATCAATCAATATGTTGTATTTCGTGGTTGATGTTGATGATGTGGGTATTGATAATACTGTGGCCTCAGTAAATTCAGAGCATAATGAACTATACTTGGATGGCTCACTAGCATCATGATCATCCCTATAATGGGATCTGCATTGCTCCAATTTTACCTTTTCTACCACCTTTTCGAAAAACGACGGAATACTTCTGAAATATTTATGAACAAACGTGCACGTATATAGGTTTGGATATCTTTCCAGACCTATGAAAACTTGTAGGCGTGAAGCATAACCACGGCAACAACACATAGTGACAGATTTCATACTCTAGGTATTAATATCGGATGTGGAAAAAGCACGAAATCTCAGCAATTAGGGGTATATAGAGTAAGCATGGGTATTCGATTTGGTGAGAGAGCAATATAGAGAGAGGGGGAGACAAATTAAATGAAAACTTAAGAGAGAGGGAAAGACAAAGACAAGAGAGGGCGGGGGAGTAAGAGACAGAGACAGAGAGACATAGGGGGCCGGGAGAGGGGGTATGAAAGGAATATCTTTGTTAGGAGGCGCAAGTCTTGTAACTGGTATATTATTGTTCTTCGAGGCATTCGTCAAGTTTGGTTGAAGAGCATTGGCAGTGGATTTAGACTGAATGAATGCAAGCTGGTTAAGCATGGTAATATTTTTTTCCTCTTTGATATCGACTGTTTCAATTACTGAGTTATTGAAATCTAATAGCTTTCGTCATGACTCCGCAAACTTTCTTTTAAAATTGCAATAATATTAGATATAGAATCAAAAATGGATATGCAACTCTTGGACAATCGTGATTTTTAAAGTAAGGAATATCAATATGACGGGTCTACTATGGAAATATTTCAACCTTTTATCATAATTATGAAGTGGATCTATATAATCTATATTTTACTACCATTGATTTTAAGGATTCAAACACTTTAAATATGTTCGAAAGTAAGAGGGATATCTCTCCTTTATCTTTATTTACAGTGAATTTTATTGCAACATATCGATTTATGAAATATATGTTTTGTCTCTCTGTATTCTTCCAGGAAGGGATTTACTTCACATCCTCCACGGTCTTTCTTATCTTGCTCCTCGCTACTACCTCCACAGGTATACGACGAGATAGTAAGTTGGACGTTTATCTTCAAAGGGTAGAAGCCTATCTTTGACGCAAGGGCTCACGATACGTTGTTTGACTGGCGCAGGGCTGCGTTAACGATTTGTGCAACTTTTGACGCGCCAATCACTGCCGCAGTTCTGTGTCAGCAAATAACGTCGTGTCTGTAACGGAGACAATGTGAACAGAATGCTCTTGTAATTCCCGTTGCGCACGAGGTGCTATCCCACTTGCGTTATTATCTGTGCTATAGTCCATCCGTTGGAGTAAATCAGACCATAAGCCAAATTATGTAACTCAACGCATTATTTGAAATGTGCAATTTTTATTCACTGATTATACGATGCCACTCTTACTTGGCACGCCATATACCACAACATTCGTTGGCGTACCCATGCGTCAATAAAAATGACATTACCACAAGGAAATTCAGATGTTAATGATCCAGTAGGGCGGAACATTAGGAATTATACCTTTAAAGTTGTGATTTTGAATTACATGTTTGGAAATCAGTTAAACAGGATTCACCAAGCATTGATTGACGGTGCTGGAAATGATCTGAAATTAATTATGAAAATCTTTCCTAGATTTGATGATATATTCGCAGCTTTATGGTTATTGTACCAATAAAATTCTATTATCATGTGAATGAATATCAACAGATTTTCTTTTTCTAAACGTTGATAACGTTTCTTGATAATTTAAGTGATTTAATTTCTTACATTCCATAACAAATCTTTATACGATTCAACTTATTAGAGACTCATTATCGAATATACGAAGTGCAGACTTGCACCATCTTCTCCCCATTAATAATTTACAGTCCCATAGTGTCCGGTATGATGAATATCTTGAAATAATGTGAGTGGTAACATCATTATATACATGTAACTAAGAACACAATAAACATCAAAAGCTGTGATTTTCTTCGCCATCTTGATATTCTTTCTCATTAAATCTGTTTTTGTCCATTCTATAAAGCACACGGGTGCCAGCAATGTGAATATTTCTTGAGCAAGGCAATACGATGCGGCGATATTGGTACACAGGCAAACGGCAACTCACGTTTGGTTGCCAAGCCAACTATGATGCCATGGGTACCAACCAATCAGATTACAGAAAATCGTCACATGGTGTGCGCTTACTCTGGTAAGTGTCATTATTTTATTGATATCAAGAAAGGACGTTCATCTTCAATTTAATTCTATCTTTTTAAAACCATCACAACTGGAAACTAAACGTAACCACACATGTAAATATGTATATTCAGTGGGTATAATTATAACATATATAAAAGTATACCCAACTTTGATAGATTCTGATTTTAAAGTTATAACCTGTGTGGAATTGATTTTCATTCCAAAGAGTAACTAATATTCTGTCCAACGATGCTTTATTCATAACTCCGCTGCCACGAATCCCCCACCAATAATAAAATCAGTGAGTACCAAGTTTGGTTGAAGCATAAGATGTGGGTCAAAAGCCCTCACACATTGTCGTTCAGACCAAAAACCGTTTCCAACCATATTATGAACTATGTAGGGCTAGCATCAATGTCTCATTACAATTTCTCTTTTTTCTTTGTTGTCATTTATGACATAAACTAATTTTCCTTTGAAAGATATTTTCTTTATCGCTCATTACTATTATTATATAGTTCTAACTTATTTTCGAGATTGGTCCGTAAGATTAGTCATCTAGATACAGATCAAATTATCTATATGTTATCTGAATTCTAATCTTAGTCAATATACCATTTTAGATGTTTTACACAATAAAAAAATAATAAACACCCCCTTTTCAGATTGAGTTTCGAATGTGAATGCCATAGCGTCATAGCGTTTCCACGTATTATCTCCGTGGCTTTGAAAGAGTTATATAATTATCAAATTCTCATCGCTCTCCGAAATCCTGTCACGTACAAGATTCTAACAATTTATCTCATTTCAGGCAGCCTGCACGTACCGCACGTACTACGATATAAATAATCGATTACAGCATATAATACGTTTTACTTTTTTTATTTTGAAGTGAAACTTATCCGTGATTCCTGAATCCTTTTGATTTCTTTTAAAATTTTCAAAATTCACACCTCTTTTTATTGTGTTATATCTGTGTCGTTTACTTGTATCTTTACTTCACCAAAATGTCTTTGTTCTTTTTTTCATTCTTCCAGTCAAGTTTGCATTAGATCGGGAGTGCGGTCATGTAATTTTCCATTTCGTCCATTTTCATCAGCTCATCTATGTCAATGTTAGCATCTGTTGGCAAATTTGCAAATCTGACGGCTAATTTTGCCCTTGGGTTGGTTGAGTTCACAGATGTCTGGCAGCGCTTGTAAATCTTCTAATGTATAATATCCTTCTCTTATTGTCTAGGTTCACATGCTGTTTCAATGATACCATCGACAACACAGGGTAGAACTGATGAGTCTACCACTGCTCCATGGCGTACGTCACCACCAGCCTCCACCACCCCCTCCACCACCCCGCCCTCGCGGATCCAACCTACCGATCCTCCAACTACAGTTGATATCAAGCCCAACTCTTCAACCACTATTCCCACCAAAGCAGCAACAACCAACATAACGACAGCAATCGAAGCTGGTACCAGTGGTGAGTCTAAACTTGCTGTATATTTTCCTTTATGCTAGTGCTACGATTTGTTTAAACGTGAGGGGGGTGAAAAGTTTGACAAACTCATTATCATTATATATTTCAGAAACATTTCCCTTGTGTATTCAATTATCTCGGTTTGAAACACTATAAACAATATAATGTGCAATACGCATGATAAGTCAAAATGCAAAATGGTAAGCCTACCTTTAGATCTCAAAAAGAAAGAGTTTTTGATCATTCTCCCCTTTCCCTCATTCTTTTATATTAATACTCAAACAATTTTGATTCGTATTTATCTTTTTTCGCACATAATGCAACTACATGTAGGTACAACCCCGCCAACACAGAGGCAGAGTACTACTACTGTAAAAACTAGTCCACTTACAACCACAGCGGCTACCACACCCACCGCGGCTACCACACCCACCGCGGCTACCACAACCACAGCGGCTACCACAATCGCAGTGGCTACCACAACCACCGCGGCCACCACAACCACAGCGGCTACCATAACCACTTTACCTGCCACAACCAATGCAGCCACCACCACAAACATGATCGCCACAACTGCAACGAACACTACAACTACCAGGAGCACCACAACTACCAAGAGCCCCACAACTACCAGGATAGCCACTACTGAAATCACCAACCCTGGTACGTTTAAAACAATCTTAACATGACTTGTGTATGAAGTAGGCCTAGTATGAAGGGGCGGAGCTAATTGGTCAGTGGCAGCCGATGTTCTTGCAGCATTTTCGTCTTACAACCCTAACCATATCGTTAGTCCTGACATATCTCGATCTAAATATTACACCCATCCCCACACACCCCACCCAATCCTCTCACCCCGGAACTGCGCATGCGTACGCATCCACCAACTAACCATCGAATTAAATTAACTTCCTTCTCTTTCGCTTATCCCTAGAATGTAACTACTCCACGAACATCTTGGATGAGATCCAGTTCAAGTTCCCAGCGATCATCACCTTCCCCCTTCATATTGATGTCTCCTTCAAGACGGAGAAGAGCGCCAGGATTGTTCTGACTCGAGATGAGGCCGAAGAACAAGTTCAGGAATATTACGAGATCAGTAAGTACCTGATTTTGTTTTAACTCCACTAGTACGTTATGCATCGCCTTTATGCCAGCCTGTTTAATTAGCGGTATGGGTTTTTAAAAAATAGTGAAAGATCAATACATATTCAGGGGCGGCGATTTCTGACCGGGGGGGGGGCGAAATGTGAGCGACGAGGGGAGCAGTGGCATAAGGGGCAAAAACTTCTTTTTTTTGGGGGGGGGGCAGAAAAAAAATCCGCATTACCACCACTCTCACACGTTAAGCAGGCCTTGGGAACGTTTTTCAAAGTAGGGGGGGGGGCTAAAGTATTTACGATCAGGTAGAGCAAAGCAAAGCAAAGTGGAGCGTACATTGGCGTGGGGTCCAGGGGCAAAGCCCCGGCGGTTGTCGAGGGGCGGAGCCTAATGAAGCTCAGGGCTTTTAGGCATTTAATTACGGCCAGATGAGCATATTTTGATACCTTATTTGTAACTTTAATTGCTTTACATTTCATTTGGGAGAACTGCCACCAAAGCCCCCCGCCCCCATCAGTACACAAATGCGAGGGAGCAAAGTGAATTAGAGGGGTGAAGGTTACAGAAGTGACTACCCCCTCACAGGTTTTTTGAAGTTTTGTTGTATTAAAAAATTACATCCCTTAGCAAAACTATAATATAAACGTTAGCAATATACTTTTTTTCACCCTTCAATTTTCTCGGTTTTTACTCGTACATTTTGAAGGATATTATGCGAGGGAGCGTAGCTTCTGAGTGAGAAGATTTTTGCATTTTATTTGTTTAAACGCTGCACTCTTGGGCCCTCTAGAGCCTAAAAGTGTGTTGCAGTCTTTAGTCAGTATTTGCTATACATTTTTTGGGGGGCACTTATTCAAATTTTGAGGAGGGACGATTGCATGTAGGGATTTATTCCTAGTTTAGAATAACATTTTATTTATTTCTTTTATATTCTTCTCTAACTCTTCTCAAGCACTGGGTACTCTGTATGAACAAAGCCGCGCGACCGTAGAACATTGTATTCCGGGTCCAGGTTGTCTTCAGCTTCAAAAACTCAACGGATTTTTGTTATCTGCGACCGATTTCATTCGGGTGTGGGTGGAGTACGAAACCAGCGGTCGAATCCAAGTCGGATACCACGGACAACCGGCTATGATAGACGTAACCGATACAGATCCGATCCCTGATATAGCTTACATCGGATTCGTTAACCGGAATGTGCTTGCTGAGTGGATATTTCATGACTACTGCTAAGAACCTCAGTGACTTCAATAAATTTCTATTCAAAGAACATTTCTTTCCTTTTTAGACATTTTAATTCAATACAATGTTAGAAGGCGAGGATCCCAGAAAAGACATGCTTACATTAAGCTTGCCTAATATACAATACTATTTAAAACAATACTTTTCTTCAGTTTTTAATCGCTACTCTCGATTTGCATATGATTAATACAAGCAAGTATTGTAAGGTTATATCTATTCAAAGCCCATCTCTACTAGTTGACAGGAGGGATTAGACTACCCTGCAAGGTGTATCGTTGCTTTTTGTGTTATCATGTAATTTTGAGGGTCTGTTTCTAATTGATATGGATATGCACGACTGTTGTACTCACCAAAGTAATCAACATTGACAGTCGTTGTATGTTGGTTAGCTTCTTGGTAGAAATAAAAATTGTTTGACCCGAATGTGTACCATTTACGTACCTTTTCTTTAATGAATATCTTGCATGAGTATATCATTTAATTTCTGACATGAGAAATGATTTTATGAAGGCACAACGATTTTTTACAATGTGCATCTGGATGCAGTCTTCTCCTCGGTATTCAATTTCAACATTTTATTTTCTTCTTCAATTTTTGGTCCAATTTCTTTACAGGAATTGAAATGTTGGTGGACTAGCTAGTATAAATAGCCTTTCAGCAACGAAACGATAAGGTTAAAGTTAATTTGTAAGCACTATTTTGCTGTTGCACTCAAGTATATTAAAGTGACTCCGTTGTTGAAGGTTGATGAAAATATTGCTTAATGATTGTATAAAATGTTACTTACTATATTCCTTCTACTGTACTAACCCTCTGACATGCAAAAAATCCTGAAAAAATTCTCTAACCACGAAGATATCTATGGTTTTCTTTGAAGGCGTCGATATACGACACCTTCTAACAGTGATTAACAGTAAATTCTCCCAACCATTTTTGAATTTTCCAAACCGTTTTTCCATGAAAAAAAGACATAAAACAAGCTATAAAAAACCTGTCAACACTTAAATGTCTGGAATGGAATGTAGAGCCATTTTATTGCTTTGTGACGATTTACATTCACCTAAAATGCAATTAAATTGTAATAATATAGTTGGGAGAATTAAGGAATCAATCAGATCAGTTTTTCCCAATTTCTACCATGAATAATGGTTCGTTTTCACTCAAATTTTCAGATAATCTTTAATTGTACATCTAGCATTGAAGTCACTATCTTAGCACCACTATCTCTCATCTTTACAATGTTACCAAGTCCCTTTAAGGATTGGCTATTACTTGAAAGTATTGAAAGTATTGTATGCTGTAATAATATCTCTAAATATGACACCCACTGTTTTATACCTAGAATTTTGATGAATGTATTTTCAACTCTGGTCTAGATGTACAGCTTTTATCATTTATTACTATAGGTACTTCTTTTAGGTAGCAAACTAATGTTTAACAGTAATCATCTCTGAATCTCGATCTTGTTGACATTTTCGTGGAAGTATTTAAAAGTTTTCGTTTACTTAAAATATAAAGGCAAAGAGAAACATCACAATTTTTTTAAAAGCGTTCTTACAACGGTTAAATAGTGCCTTAAAGTTTCCACAGTGGTTAGGCAGATATCTATTATGTAATTTTGCCACATCTGAGTGATTCAGCTGTTAATAGATAATGTCTGAACTAATTACCATAAGATAAGAGAACACAAAGTATGTTTATTTTGTTATGCAATTAAAGGGTCAAAACAATTGTAGAAAACTACATCGTATTTAACGTTAAACAATTATTTTGTTAAAGTACCATAGTAACTAATGGGAGTATGGACGGCCTGAATAGAAAGTTAAAGTACAGATAAATATAATTAAATCATAAGACCACTCCAAACCCATACGAAATGTTAAAAACATGTATATGAAATGAAAGAAAACAATTCGAAGAGTAAAATCTATTTAAGGTTTTGTAAATACTATCTCGCTTGAAAGCGATAACATTCTGGACTTAGGACAAAGTCTAGAATTATAGGACCTAACTGTAGGTCAAAAATACCACTTTGTAGATACACTACACAATATTTTCAGAGCCCGTTGGAGAACTATCACCTTTGTAAGTACAAAGAAAAAACTCTTAATTCCATTGATTGTTTCACTCTATTTTTTTCTCATTTATCCCAGTGTTAGACTTTTCATGAGTTCCGACAATCGAAAAAATATGGAAGTTGCAACGAGTCTAAACAAAATATAAACTAAATATATTACAAAGTTCCAATTAACTGCGAAATTGAATTTAATGAAAAATGCTGTCGCTAATCAAATGGACTAAATGGTGAGAAAAAACAAAATGGTGAGAAATAAGGATGAAAATAATGAATATAGAAAAGAATAGTCGGAAATAATTATGCTCCCTAGACAGAGTATCTCATGTTATTTTCAAATTAAATGTTCGTGAAGGTATACATGTATTACAATTTATATGTAAGCATGAACAACTAGACAGGGACGTAGAGGTTTTACGAACTTAGGAGGATACGTAAAGAAGACCCAAATTCGAGTAATGTAAAGTTTATTAAATCAATCTGAAGTATATCTGTCAATATTATGGTCGACTTCATATCCGGTTTTGTTACAATAATGTGAACGCACAGATTTTGTAACGCACTGTAAATGTTTGTGATATTTCCACCAAATAAATCATAACTTTGGTCTCATATTTCGTCAAAAGTTTGTATGTAATTAATGGAATCTTCGTTAAAAGATAACCTTGAGTTCTGGTAAAAAATGAAAATGAATTCTCACATAATCAAACGAAACTTACACTGAATGTTCAAGGTTACAAATAGATGTCATTTACCAAACGATTTTTGGTAGAAAATGTATACTGGCTGAGTAATGAGCATAGAAAGATAAGGACATCAAGGTAAGTAGCCCCGACACCATTTGTGAAGTCCTGTATACATCTTTCTGTGTACAGTGCTTGTTACTTTACCAAGACTGGGCCAAATTCATTATGATTTTGATTACTCCAGAACCTTGCATTACACACAATTAATTACATGCTACATGATCAACTTTTTCTGATCCATTCCACACCTTTTCTCTCACAATGCAATCGCACTTTAATGTGAATGTACAGAGACAGGTCGGTGGTACGAGTTCGATAGATTTTTAAGTACCACGCTATTAACGACAAAATCAATACCCCATCCCAGGTTTAAAGAAATGGTGCTCATTACGATTACCATTAAAGTGCATGTTATAGGAAAAAACTTTGCCGGAGTCATATCTCTTTGGATTATGAGTGCAGTGCAGAGGAATAAAGAGTACTACAATCATGATAACGATTGTCATTGTTGCTATTGATATTATTATTATTATTATTATATTATCATTATTATTTTTATTATTATTATTAATAATATTATTATCATTATCATTTGCATTGTTATCATTAATAAAAGGCTTGTCAATATTATCAATATTAACAAAATTGATGTGATAGAAAACCTCCTACACCAAAACGCAGTCCATCCGAATTACTAATTATTCCAATAAGGCTCCGGCAAAGTTCTATTTCCCTGGCTTTAGCTTTAGCCAAGCTGCCCTGAGTTGTCCCTACTATAGGTACTTATTTCCAACATGTTGGTTAATTGAGAGTGGCAATTGTCTACATTATTTAGCTAACAATGAAAGACGCAATGTATGATGCGGTCCAGTTGGACGACGAAGATGATCATGGTGATAAACAGGTGCATGAAGAGACCATCCAACTCCAGAATGGCACACAACTCACTCTTGAGAAGAATGAAAACATGATCACTTCTGACAAGAATAAGAGGAGCAAAGGTATGTGAACCAATATCATTCGCGATTTTTTTTTTTCGTGAGAAGTTAATTACCTGACTGCTAAAAAACATAATGTTTGTAATGCCTGGATTCCATTTGGCCTGCGATTAGTCTACGGAGCCCGTATCCTGCCCGTATCTCCTTTTCCGTGCGGCCTCTGTGCGAAGGCAGGAGGCGACCGTGAGATTTTCGTACGGATTCACGGGCTCCGCAGCCCTTACGATTTTGTTTCGCGAGAAGTTAAACAAATTTGAAAAAAATCGTAAGCCCGTAGCCCGTATACATGTCGTAGGTGGCATTGCACAATCCCCGCACGGGCATCGCCCGGAGGCCTTGCACTGGTTGTGCAGCAAACGTACTATTTTTCGGTGAACATGGGGGCAAACAAAAATCGTACAGAGATTGTAGACTCGTGGGGCATTCGCACGGCCATTGCGCAGCTATCGCAAGGTTGCTGCTCGCTGCCCGTGCATTATCCGTGATATTGAGCAGTCATCTTTGCACGGAAGCTGCACGGGCTCCCTACGATTTCCGTGCGGAGGCTGTGGAGACTGCACGGCTACTGCATTCAAATTGCACGATTTCCGTACAATCTCCGAGCAGCCTCTGTACGGATTTGCCCTGGCCTGCCCACGAGGGCCAACACAATATATGGCACGATGCTCGTAGATAATGTAAACACAAACATCGTACCCCGTAGCCTCCTACGATGTCTACGAAAAATCGTAGACTAATTTATCGTACGGCGCCCGGAGCAAATGTAATCCAGGCATTAGTAAGCAACTGCTTTAAGTCATCTTAGAGCGACTTGCTAATTAAGATTTAATGCCTTTCAAAAGGCACTTGTGCATCGACTTGGTCGCGAATCCGCGAACTCCCGATAATGGGACCTGCTCCAGCAATGAGCTAGTCTACAGGTAGTTCTGGACATTAAAAGGGTCCAGAACTAGACTAGCAATGAGCCATCGCGACTCCAAAGTTCGTCCGTTTCACCAATCATTAAACTCACTTGATCATAGATTATTCAGTCTTTAGACTGTTGTTCCTATCCACGGTTTTCTTTAGTTGGGGTTGTCATCACATTTATCTGAGGCATCTTTCCACCAGCTCACTTAAGATGGGTTTTTAAAAATAAAAATTATTCAATTAAATATCCCTAGCTCTGAAATGTTCATTTCTTATGAATATGAATTACATTGTATATTGTTGATGTGAATGGCATTATGAAATTTTTAAAAAAGTATTTTTTCTTTCTTCATGTGGTTGTTTTCATTTGCCAATCTTCTACAAAACAAAACTATAAGCAAAACAAAGAATATACTTGACGAGGGAATGAGAGAAAAGTACAATCATTAGCTATCATTACATAATGAGCCACGGGCTGAATGCAATAATGATTAAAACTGATTTGGAGGCTCCACTCATTATTCATTGTTATCCTAATGATATTTTCAGCAGGGTGTTCAGGATGTTCAGGGTGATTTTAGATATTGTATTTTTTTAATTATTTTTAAAAATTACGAATGTTTGCTTCAAATACGATGTATTTCATATTCATAGCTGGGCTTATACCAGTGAGGTACCAGTTATGTTTTCTTTCCTTCATCGGTATGACATCACTCGGCACCATGAGGCAAAGTGTGGGCGTGGCGATGGTTGTCATGGTAAACACTTCTTACGTCGGTTACGAACGCACCGAAGGCCATATTGCAAGCAGTGACGATGTATTGTCGTGCAAGGACATTCGCAACAATGACACAGATTACATTGATGTAAGAATTTCCTCATTTATTTTCTGTAGTTGATAAAGAAATAAAATCGTTTTAATTTTTGCAGTTTAGGGGGGGGGGGGTGGGAGGGAAAAGAAATAAATCCCCCATTCCAAAATTTTCTCTCAACAAATTAAGGATTGTTCGATCTATGTCGGCAAGTCAAACCAAAATCAACGGGCCAAATTTGGGAAGGTTCTACGATTGTCTGAAAGGAGACATATACAACATCTTCCTCGACATTACTGCCCCTTCATCAAATTTCGCTAATTGGTCATAATGCAGATATATTCTGTTTATGATATCATTTTGTATGAGAATTTTTGTATTGCATAATGAAATACTATATTATAAGATGATGACGTGGATCCTAATCAAATAATAAGTTGAGAGCGTACACATGACCAGGCATTTATTTTGCCTAACACGTAGTTTTGATAATGACCGGTCATTAGTAAAATCATGTTTTAAAACATAATTTTTTAACACAAATAATACACACCAATTTATTCGGGCATTAGTTAAATTACCCACACTCGTGGAACCTTCAAAACAGTCCAAAAACCCTCGGCTATCGCCTCGGGCGTGTTGGACTGTTCCAAAGGTACCTTGTGTGGGTAATTCATACTAATACCATCACTGCTGTGTATCGTTTGTATCTTCCTCGATCGTTATATCAAATTCCTATATCATTACATATTGCTCCGGTTGTCTCATTTTCGCCAGCATAAACGTAGCTAGTTCGCCGTCTATAGAACGTATATAGCAGACGGCAATCGGCGGATCAGACGACACTTGATAGTGATTTTTTATGTGAGATTGCTTACTAAATATAAAATACAAGAACCTTTTCCATATCTTTAAACTATCATTGATATCTGATAATTAAACAGTTAGTAAAATAAACCTAAACTACATAATACAATGAAATACTTGACTAAAGGGGGGAGTTTGATGTGGTGCACAATTGCACCCCTCTGTTAATAATCGAATAGTCCATGGTGTGTCATGAATATTCATGTTTTTGCTTACCTCGGCAAAATGTTTGCCTATACTAAATGGAAAAATTACGGCGGGGGGTTGGCTGAAGTGGACATAATGAACCAAGCAGAACTGATCTATGATAATTCATGCTTCTTATCCGAGTGCTTGACCTATAATCTTACAATCGCGTGGTAAATTGCGTCCACGTCCAAAGTTCGACTTGTTACACATGCGTTATATATGCAATGGCGAGCTTGCGACCTAATTTGATCAAATTAGGGTGGGTGAACTTTCACTTTTGAGGGTTCCAATGAAAGAGCTAGTTTCAACGTACGTCGGGGTGGATGTGCTTTTCGTTTAAACAAAAAAAGAAGAAGAATTTTTAACGATTTTTTTTTTGTGTGTAAAAGTCCATAGGCTAACATGTTTATTGGCTGCTGGACTCTGACGATAGGGGGCGTTCTCAAATGAGACTAAACGGAGCAATATTTTTCGCATGCCTGTGTTAATCGATTCTACCTTCTGTCATACTAGAGCCTATTTCAAGTACTCATGTATTCTTCTTCCAGGTGGGTTGCATCTCATTGGAAGGAACATCGATTGGCGTATCCAAACATCCAGACGGGGGAAGGGGGCGGCGGCGGAATTTACCTTCAATAAATCCATTCAACCTATCCGTGTTTCCCTACAGGGTACATCAGGGGAATTCCCATGGAGTACGCACACGCAGGAGCTATTACTGGCGAGTTTCTACTATGGCTACATGTGCACCCAAGTTCCAGGTGGATGGATCTCAGACCGTTTTGGGATGAAGTGGGTTCTAGGCCTGGGCATCTTGCTATCCAGTGTATGCACGATCCTAGGACCATGGGCTGCTCGTACCGGGACCATATTTTTCTTCGTAGCGCGATTCCTCACCGGTCTTGCTGCGGTATGGAACCGTTTTTTCTTCTTGGTTTTATTTAATAGTTGTTTGTCGTACCGAGTAAATATCCTATTCATTCGTATTTAAGTAGCTGTTCTTCAAATGAAGTTAGTATGGTAGCCCTGAAGGGACATCGCGAATAGACGAAATCGCGTTCTAAATTGACTGCTCTATTCGAAGCAATATCACATGAAGCAGAAGAAAGACAAAATGGTTAGCATGCACCATGCTAGACAAAATATATGGGAAAATGAGAATCAGAATTAAGTCGAGAATATTTCCTGACCCAAATAACTGACAACTTTTGGTGACGTGTAGGTCTCGTTTATGTAAGGATCCATGTTGAGTACGCCTGTTGCCTTCATCGTTCCCAGTATAACAATATGATACGTGTTTCATCAAGCTTTGACCCTAAAGCTGGGTTCAGGCTTTACAAAAAATAAATTGGGTTTAAGAAAAGAATTTCGTCTAAGGTCAATGCTTTCCCTTTGCTAAAACCGACTAGGATCCAATATCGGGTTGATAATAATGATAATGACATCATAATTGCGTACATTACCCCCCCCCCCCCCCCGAGATGCGCCTTAACTAATTCATGTTGGATATTTTTACCCCGGTTTAGCTGTGATGTCATTGAACGGCGCTCTAGTATTTCAAGGAATTAATTCCTACCAGGTACCCATTTACATCACCTGGGTTGAGTCATTGAGTGTGACATGCGCATTAGAAGACTACGGATCAACCTCTTTTCCCGATATTGTATGTTTGTTTGTTTGTTTTTATTTCCGTATAAAATCATCACAACATACAAATACATACATAAATAAGATATACGGCGGATAGCCCATTTCAGGTGTATTAACAAAATACGCCTGGTATCACTTGTTGTTTTACAGGGTGGTGTTGTTCCTGCTGTGTCATCAATGTGGTCTCAATGGGCCCATCCAGACGAAAGAAGCCGACTGGGAATCATAACATGCTCAGGTATAACATCCTAACATTGAAGCCTTTATAAACGGTTTCCGAGTCCTGCACATGGAAACCGCCTTACATATCGTGGGGGGGGGCATCAAGTATGCTCAATAGAGTTAAACAGTTCCCGCTTTAGTTCGGGGAGGGCCATGCACCTGTCTGACCACATAAGACATTTAATAATCCTTTATTTTATGCTCTTGGACGTCCCCCAGCTATGGGGAATGAAGCACTACGGAGCTCCCAGAAACCACGGAAACCAAATGTCTATGTATTTCCTCTGTTATTCATTTCATCTCAAAATCAATCTATGATAATCATGTCGGATTAATTTAAAGCTTCAACTACGTATGATATTTCCATAAATTAAGCTTTATCATTTAAGTTGTCTGTTTCTACGAGTGGAGACTGGTCTTTTATGTCAACGTAGAACGCGGCAAAATGAAATGAAACATAAACTACACGAAGCCTTCTTCCTCGAGATGTGCCAAACACTTTTCATATGCATATTGCTTTATATTTCCAATTCATTTGGCAGGTCTCACATTTGGTGGTGTCATTAGCAATATCATAGGTGGTTTTCTGGTGGATTCTGATATTATGGGTGGCTGGCCATTGCCATTCTACGTCTTCGGTAAGCTAACATGATACAGCTGTAGTGTCTTATATCGACCACTGTATTCAAAGTCAAAGCTCGCATGTGTCTTACTTTTATCCCCACGGTCTAGACACCTTGGAAGTGCTGCTAAAGCATCTCTAAACATACTGTAAGAGTCGAAGGTTTATTTGGTGGTGTATGGGGGGGGGGGGGGAGGTGGTGATGGGGGCTGTCAGCTGACTGTCGGAGGGGAAGGGTATGCGCTCCATAGAGAGAGACATTTCACAAAGGTTCCTACCCCAAAATGTTATTCTTATTGATCTGATGAGGTTACGAAAGATAGATTACAAACAATTGACTTGATACAACTTATTACAACTCTTAACAATAGCCTTATGTAACACCATGAAATTATGCCATTCGACTTCAGGTTCTGTGGGTTGTATCTGGTTTGTATTATGGTGTCTATTCGCTTCTAGTCATCCATCAAACCACCGCTGGATCTCACGGGAAGAACAAAAATACTTGGAAAATAGTCTGAAATTACAATCAAAGGTAACTATCATTATATCTTCATAGTCGAGTCTGTCTCTCATTGGTGAGTGGCAATTAACGTTGACCGTAACGCTCTTGTTTTTTAGTGAAAAGAACTAGAATTAGGTTTTAGAGAACCGGCCTATTTGATAAATTGTGAATTCTTAGGAAAATTGATATTCGAAACAGCCTTCAAACTCTTTGTTATGTTCACTCTGTTGAGTATTTTTGCACATTTTTTGGTGTTGTTGATAAACATAACTGGAATAAAGGAAGAGGGTTACTAATACTTGGCATTCCCTCTTCCAACAATATGTTTCCTTTGGAACGCTCTTTCCATATTTACTTCTCCGTGCTCGTTTAGTGCCTCTATTTCCTAAATGATTTATGTAATGGACGTTGCGTTCATCATTTCATGTTTCTTTCCCTTTTCTTGCCTAGAAAAGCAATAAATCTGTACCCTGGTTGTCGATTCTTCGTTCGCCAATCGTCTGGGTGATAACACTTTGTCAGTTTGTCCAAGGATGGGGTACTGTCATCATTATCACCAATCTACCTCTTTATTACACCAGAGGTCTTGGGCTCTCAGTGAAGCAGGTACATACATGCATGCATGTAAACCTACTGATCATGAGGGCAATGTGCATTAGTGTTTGACAAGAAAGCTTTATAGCCTTTAAGAGATATGATGGAAGCCTTCAAAGTACTACACTTTCCTGAAAAAGAAAGTCGCTTTCAGTTCTGACGTCGGAAGATGATTATCTTAAATAAAATAAATTGACAAAAATTGATAAATAACTCGATAATTCACTGATATGTATGATTAACGTGATCACCCTATCTCTTTGGTTGTTATCTATTTCAATTTACTGCATTGCCCGATGTCAGAACCTTAAAGGTACAGTAATTTTGTTTAAACGCCCTTCTTTAAAGGTACTACATTCTATGTCCCATTTGCAGGCCAACAAAATGAAAAGGTTAAATTCCAACGGCATTTGAAAGACAATACTAATTTAGAACTTCCCTCAAAACCAAAGGGCTTGAAAACGGCTTTTAGTGGGAAAAAACGACCATTAGTTGTCGAATCGATTTAAGTGATTGCAATTACCTAAGTAATAGTCTGATTTTCAGACCCTTTTACCGAATGGTCGTACGTTTTGTGCTGCACAAGATTCAATCAATTTAATTTTGGCCATTAGAAGTAGTGGAATATTGATATAGACAATTGCTCACGTACCTGTTACAGCTCGGTTTATAAAATTTTATTACCAAAGAAAAAAAGATGTCAGTCAGTCACTAAATAGTGTCTGACAATGAAGTCTAGAAGGTAAACGGGTTTCCGTGCATAATTTGAATACTAAGACATTGCTAGTCAGATAGGACATACATGAGATATTCATAATTCCTGCAAAGTTCTATACATAATTATGATGTTGGCTGTAAAAGGGACATAGTATCTCTAAGTTATCTAGGCCAACTGCGTCAGTCTCTTACTTCTACCTATAGGTACATGTAATCACCCTTGACAAAATGTCTTTGCTCTTTGTTATCTCGAAATTAATACTGGTTATGCTACGGTCACAAAGGTTCGTACGAACGATAATTTCGTACGAATCTCCCTGTTTTCCCATTGTCTGAAAATCGTTCATAGGGCGTTCGTATCAGTTCGTAATGGCATTTGTGACCGAGGCTTTATTGGAATGAAGAAAGAGAGAAATGGCATACACTAACTGCTTATTATGCTTTAGTTTGCATCTATTTGATGTTTGATTGTTACGTAGCGTTAGACATTTCAATGTAATTCTTATTATCTCTTTTGTAGGCAGGACTGTACTCAGCATTGCCCTTTGCTTTTCTGTTCTTCGGCCAAGTTACGGCAGCCTACATAGCAGATAGGATATTATCACGGAAGATCCTAGGCCTCAGCCATACCAGAAAACTGATTACAGACATATGTAAGAATTAAGATATACTAAGTTTTTAGATAGAGCCTTATGGAGGTTCACATACAAAAATGTAGATAATGCAAACGCGGAACAAGAATATGCACATTTTGTATCGCTGAGATTTTGCCTCTAAAACTCAATCACAAAGAAGTAACAATCAATTTGAGGCATGCGCAGTAGCCTTGTGCGTCATCGATTGGCATGTGCGCATGACAATAACTTATTACATAATCCAACCATAATGAGCAGTGCCTATATGTGAAAGTCCCAAGTGCTAATTTCTTGAAAGTATTAGCGATCTTTTACTCTGCTGTTCAGGTATTTCTTAACTACTGGGTCAATGGGGGTACCTCATCCATGGTTTATAATGTATATCTTATCGTCAGATTACGTAATGTTGGACTGTAACAAACTAATAAATATATCAATGAATTCTTTGCTGTAGATTGCTCTTCAGTGTCGATATTTCAGGGGGAGGTTCCTTGCTTTATGTTGTACACGAGCAGGCGCGTACGCAGGGAGGGGGGGGGGGGGGGGTTGGGGGTTAACCCCCCCCCCCTCCCCTTGAGTTTTTTTTATGTGTATGTTTTGTGTATGTTTTTTCGAAACCCTTCCCCCCCCCCTTTTGAGTTTTTATTTTACTTATTTATTTTTTTAAATTAAAAAGTACGCCACTGTACACGAGAGGTGATTGGATTGCGTGTTATTACTTCAGCTTATCAAGTCTGTGAAAGTGATTTGCACAAGTACTAGTAATTCAAGACTTGTACATTTGGGTTTATTTTGTACACGAGGCCTCTATTAAACGTTGCGTCAGAGACAGCGCAAGCCATTGACGCATTCCTACGTCAATAAATGAGGTCTGAGTCCGGTCACGCATGCAATGGACAGATCTCGACACCAATGGGCATTATACTTTAAGCTCAGAGTAGGAAAAAGGTGTGGACATAATTATATTCTACCAAAGGTTTTTTGATGATGTAGTGTTATTGAATCCCATCGAAACTATAAGACAAGATTTTACCCTCAGTTTCCTACGAGGTGGGTTAATGAATTCACTAATCAAATGGTTCACTCGTCGTGAACAGGTTACTCGTGGACTACATTATTAAAGGTTAAAATGGCAGCCTCAATCTAAGCGTATTTCCAGATATGTTTTCTGCAATATTCCTTCTTTGTTTGTCTATGTAGGTAAACGGCTGTATAATTATTATTCCTATTTTTCTTTTCAGCTTATGGGGGTTGCTCAATCTTCCTGGTGTGTGCTGGCTTGGCACGGTGTAACGCCAGTCTCTCGGTAACGTTCATAACACTGGCTTTAGCTTTAAATGGAGCAGCATATTCAGGTTACTTTGTTTCAATGCTTGATGTAGCAGGCAACTATGCCGGTTCTGTGACGGCCCTTGCCAACAGTGCTGCCTCCATGGGTGGTGTCATCGGCACATATGTTGTTGGTGAATTAACAGAAGTTCAGGTAATCCAATGTCAGCTGCACATGAGACGTTATTAGGGATTTTTAGATTCGCACGTCGACAAAGTAGACTGCTACGTGTGACGTCCTTTGATTTGCAAGTCGACATAGTGGACTGCTACGTGTGACGTCCTTCCACACGTAGTAGTAGCTGTCTGTCGCGAAGCGACAATGACCGCCTTCATTTTCACTTTACAGCTGTTCTCCATACAGCTCGCTGGCCTGCAGCAGTTGTCCAAGTCTTGGTTTCAATTTGCCTCCGCTTAAGGTTCCTCTTGATCGTGTCCTTGTAGCGAAGCCGTGGACGACCAATCCCTCTTTCGCCAGCGGGTAGTTGCGAGAATAGTACTTGCTTTGGTAACCTCTCAGAGGGCATCCTGATGACATGGCCTGTCCATCGTAGGTTCTTCCTGATGAGCAGGTCCTCCATAGAAGGAAGGTTTGCTCGCTCTAGTACCTCTTTGTTGGTCACCTTGTCCTTCCAACTGATTCTCATGATTGCTCGAAGGTGATTCCACACGTAGCAGTCCACTATGTCGACGTGCAAATCTAAAATTCTCTATTTGCTAAAGTTGGATAGCGTTAGTGACTGACGACGTCTTTGACAATCGATACGAGAGTATGTTCGCCCAAAAAATGATTACAAAACGAACAATACAAACACTCTTTGGTCTTAAATAGCGCAGGAAAGAATTTAAGAATAGTTCAGAACTTGAGGCTAGCTGCCCACGAGATCTCAATTGTATTATAACACTCAAATAATTCAGGCACAACGTGATCAATGTATAGACACATCATCCAGGCGTATCATTCAAGAAGTAGGGGCGCTAGCGACAAACGCTGAGCAAAACACAAATAATTATTTTAAAAGAAATGTTTGAAAATTCACTGTTGACGGAACACGAAGCATGCTGTCACTAGGCGATGGATCGTTGCAGATGATACTTCAATTCGATCGCATCACTATCTGCGCTATTATTAATAAACCTTCCATTTACAACACTGCACTCTCTTGACCTCCAACCGGCATGAAGGACGCCACCGTTCACTGACGCCGTCCTATGTAAAGCCTCGATCAGATATGTCGTTACAAAATCACGACCCCCCCCCCCTTCCCCCCTTTTTCCCTGGTTGTTTAGCGCGTCATAACTGAGTAAGCCTTTAGCATAACGGTGCCTCATGTCCAATAGGCATTACATAAATAAAAGGTAGATGAACAATGCCATATATAGTGACGCCTTTTGTTCGATATGTATATTTTTTGGGTATTTGTTGTTGTTGATGACATCAATCTCAAATTCTATGATTTGCCAGGATAACATTAAGAAGTTTAATGTCTCTTTCCTTTTACCCTGCTTTCGTAGGTAAGGCATGGGTGAATATAATATATTAATTATGCATCATGTTCCGACGGCATTGGAAAGGGGTAATCTCATTTCATAATCGACTATTGGATTAACCATCCCCATTTATGCAAGATATATTATTTCTAATCAAATACATTTCTAATTAATGTTATTTTCTATATCACTTCTTTTAGTCTGACATCTTTGGTTGGCAGACGGTATTATGGATCATGGCTAGTCTCTTCTTCATCGGTGCCTTGGCCTATACCTTCGTTAGCCCGATCCAGCTACAGCCATGGGCCAGAACAAGTGCATCAGAAAGTCATAGCTAAATAAAAACATGGAAACATTGAGATATTTAAACTGAATGATTTGCGCTAATAACAATGATCATTTATTGCGCAAGCATAGCTATGACAAATTTAACAAAAGCAGTCCATTGCACAACATAGACCTAAACATGCTTTAAAAAGAATCCTTTTTGTACACTTTTACACACTATTAGAACGTTCCACCCCCGTTATATCATTAGAAGTAATTATTATAAATTGCATAATTATTTTCTCCTGTAATTTTTAATGGCCTATAATTCAGTTTATTGCTCGTGGTACTACGTAGTAATTTATGTTCAAGTTGTTTTTCCTCTAAATATTGTTGTTATATCCTGAACTCTGTATTACGCCTATACCGGTATGTTTGATGTTTCCCTAATCAGTGAGGGATTCTGTTAGATTTTCTATCGTGTTTCTCAAAGTTGTCTAAAATGTAGATATGAAGTTATATGTGCAAATGGTAGAGCTTCAGAGGCTGGACTTGAAGAACTAAAAAGCTCTCAAACAAATCTGAAGTTTGTACATTTTCGTTTGATTTACATCTGTCATTTATTGTAGGTCTAACGACCACTTTCCTACAAAGACACACTGAACTTGTTACATACTTGTGATAGGTGGACTGTCTTCGTTCGATATTTATTTTCCACATTCGATTATTCCCTAGAACGTGAGAAAGTGAATTCAGCTCAATTCTTTTTTGACAAGTTGTTTGCACAAAAAAGTGTCCAGACGTTGAATGTTTCTGCTCACATGATTTGTCAAGTATTACAATTAAAATAATGCTATCTCAAACGGGTAACTATCTCATAGACTATTCTTGTGTTTTGTCCTTGCAATGTGATGTAATGTCATTAATTTCAAAAATAAATCAACATATCATCTGGTTTGTGCTGAATATACACGTATATCTTTGTAAGTGATACCCACTTTAATATTTTCTTGAATTATCCATTTATTAGTCTCTCCGTTATTATAATATTCAAAATCTTTAAAAATAGGGATAAATTGCATATTTCCGTTGACCCCAGCTGGCATAATCCTGTCTTACAGAGAGAGAAGAGGGGGAAAAGAGAGAGATATAGATAGAAAGAGGGGAGGAGAAGGGCGCATCGATACGTTCCATGGGAAGGGAGAAGTTACAATGGTGGTTGGTAAGAGCATTATGGTTGTGGGGTATGGGGGAGGGGAAGAGAGAAAGAGAGAGAGAGAGAGAGAGAGGAGAGAGAGAGAGAGAGAGAGAGAGAGAGGGGAGCACAAGCGGATTATAGGTCACAACCGTCAATGACCAAATATAAATGTTCTATATTTCGAAGTACTTAAAAGAAATGTAGGCCCCTTTGAAATTTTCGACCAGATGAATGTACTTCAAAGCTTATACATGAACATGAACATGTATAGAAACGTATAAATATACATATTTCTGGAATAAAACATAATGTGTGCATGTCTGGGTGTGTATGTGAGAGAGAAAGATAAAGAGAGGGTGCACGAATCGAATAACTTTAAAAACTCAATTTAATAAATCTGGAATCTGAGCTTGCGATGCAACATAGAGATGAACCAATTGTCATCCTCTATGAAACATAACTTTCTCTTTCAATATGATTAAGCTCAGATGCCTTCCAAGCAGATTTACTAGGCAAAGCGTACGGAATAACTCAAAAGAAAATCCTTTAGACCAGTGTTTTAGTTGATTGATTAAATAGGTTTATTGTCAATTCATTACAGAAAAAACGAAGGACATTCTGAACATTCAGCACAAGGGCTAAAGCCGCTCAGTTTACATGATTTACAAAGCAAAGCATACAGAATACATATTAAAAAAACAATATCAAATATGAAAAAGGAATCGACTACCAGTTAGTATGTCGAAATAAAAAAAATGAAAAATTGCCACCAAATCACACAAACCATTTTAACTGAATTTTATTCTCGACCATTACATTTTTTGTTGTTGAAACTTTTAAGTAATCCTTTTATACGTGTTGTACGTGCTAGAACTGTAATACGTGTCCGTTTGGCTGTAAACCCAAATGACAGTTGATCATAATCGTGTCTCAGTTGAAACTCCATATTATTCATGGTTTGTAATCCAATCGATATTTGTCATAATATAGAGCCCTTCCCAGATCATCATTATCATCAGAGTCATCATTACCATCGATTATTCGTCACCCATGGATGCACCTTCACATACATATGAAGAACAATAATTAAAAAATGAAAAGGTTTGTCTCTACCCTCGACTCTGTTATGATGAATATCAATGCATTATGCAATATCACTTGTACGTTTCAATGTCCATATTCTGCAAATTATATCAATGTGATTAAGGGGGTAGCCTGTCATATACATGTATGTCAGTATAAACATAAAATAACTCAGCAACAAAAAACGAAATTAACTCTAGCTTTTTCAATGAGAATGATAACGCAATCGTAAACATAAATAATTATTTGTATAGGAATCAACGAAATTTGTAGCTTACTATATTTTAAAGGTATTACAAAGTTTTGGTATGGGGTCATGAATTTGGTTCAAATGAACATATTGGAAGCATATGCGTTCCTACATTATCCATTGATCGTTGTCGCGGTTGAAATCGAGTCTAAAATTATGAAATTATAAATAATAAACTCTTTATGTTGTATAGCTCCCTCTCAACGTCAAGATATTAATTTAGCTATGAAACGATGTTTTTTTTTTTTTTTTTACTAAACTCGACCGATTAGCTATTCTCGTTTGGAAATTGTATATCACAACTATACATTCTGAGATTGTCATGGTCGCAGCTACCATTGTACGGCCATAGGCGCTATCTGAAATTTATCAAAATTTACCGGGAGCACCGGTAAATTTTTATATTCAATTTTTCTCGAAAACAGAAGTGTTTTGGGGGCTAATTTTTTTAGTGCTTATAATACATCCACAGGGGCATCCAAATGAAAGATTCACTTTCCACCCAAATTTCAAAATTACCCAAAACTTTGTATTACAATAAGAAGTTTATATTATTTTAACTTTAAAAAGAATTGCGCTAAACATAATACAATCATGCATGAAAAGAGTATAATTATGATGGTACATATAATGTATATGAATAAATGTACATATATTTAACTGCAGACGTATTGCTTCATATTTACAGGTTGCTGGATAAACATCGGATTTAAGCACCAACACAGTGCATGTGGTTTGGAATATGCTTATCTCATAATTTCCGGAACGGCATGTGGTTATTTATTATTGACAGTGACTTTCAGCACCTGTTATAATGGTCCAAAATCATTTCCCGAGAAATTAAAGTAGGCAAATATCTTTCCAAATGACATTAAAGTGCCGTGCAGGGTCTCGAACCCACGAGCTCCACATCTTCAGTCAACCGATCTAACCACTCCCGCACAATTAAAGGACTTGGTAACATTGTTCAGATGAGAGAGAATGGTGCTAAGTAAGGTAGTTACTTCAGTGCTAGATGTACAATTAAAGATGATCTGAAAGATTGAGTGAAAACAGACCATTACTAATTATAAAAATTGGGGGAAAATTATCTGATCGATTCCTTCATTCTCTCAACTATATCATTACAATTTAATTACAGTTTAGGTGAATGTAATTCGTCACAAAACAATGAATTGGCTTTATATACCATTCCAGACATTTAAGGGTTGAAATATTTTTTAAAGCCTGTCTTATGTATTTTTTTCAGGAGTTTTTCCTTGTTACTGTTAGAGGGCTAGTACAGAAGAAGGAATAAAATAAGTAACATTTCATACAACAATTACGCAGTTTTCTTCATCAACCTTTAACATTGTTACCGAGTCATTTTAACAGGATGATACCCGTCGATTCCAGGAATAGTTGCATTATACTAATTATCAGTTGAAAAGTCTCTCTTAACTTAAATGCTTCACTCAAATCGCAGTAATCATTACATTCGAATAAGAAGAAAAAAACAATATTCGCAAAATTTCACAATAATGCATGTGTTCCCTTTAACGAATTGGCTGTAAAATCTTAAACTACTCGTCTGAAGTGTAGATAGATCAATATGTGATGCTGTCCTTTCTTAGGCATGCTCCAAACTGCAAAGAAATGGCGAAATAATTTTGTTTTCATTAGACAGTGTATAACCGCTATTGAACGCTATCGTACCGAATTCTTGGTAAAATAATTTTTAAAAGTTACTGGAAGAAACTGAATACTACTTTTAATTAAGCCAACCAAATCGTCGAGTGTGTAAGGCCTATTAAAATTTTAAATGATTATAATATCTGCCCTGTAGAATTCACACAGCAACAACAATAACAACAACAACAACGACGACGACAGCAACAACAGCGACAACAACAACAACAATGATTAAAACAACAAGCAAACATAATTGATGAAAAGAAAGAAATTTTACCTCTGTTTCTTGACATCAGTAGGCTCCTGCACCTATCAGATTGAAAAGAAAAACATTTCGTTACTCACCAAGTGAAAGAGAAAAATATATAGAGGGACAGAGGAACGCAAAAGGAGGAATAAAGGGAGAAAGAGAAACAGAATATAAAGAGAGAGATAAAAAAAAAGAGAGAGAGAGAGAGAGAGAGAGAGAGAGAGAGATGGGAAAGGGGTTATTGGGGAGGAATTCTTTGAGATTAAACTTATAGCGAGACACAGAATGTTAGTCAATGCATCCGAATAATGACAGCTATAGCCTTTACCATATATATTTAATTGAAGAAAAGGTGTACATGCATTAAAAAAAAATAAGATTGCTTCTTCTTCAGCTATCTTTTTTTTTTCCTCCGTGTTTTCCTTGCATCCCTCTTTGGACATTTCAGTTACGCCGTTACACGAATGAGTATAACATATGGGATCGTATGCTACTATCGTAAAGGTGAGGGAAGTTTTAAATGTCACGTAAGTAGCTTTATTCACTCTGCATGGTCTTACCTCTTGAATAGGTTTGATGTCTGCACCACAGCATGTACAGCATAATCCTGAACAGCAGTAAGAAGCAGCCACTATAGCAATGATCATCTCTAACAGACAGACGATAGACAGCATGGAGTCAGAAACGATTCGACCAATCTGTGCCAAAAAATATGAAGAAATATTTACATTGCAACCACCATTTTGCCACACTTATAACAAAGGAAAAGGGGCACCTATCAGATTTCAATAGGGGCATTTATCTGAGGTGAAAAGGGGAATTTATGAGAAGGGGAGGGCCTCTTATCAAGGAGGTAAAGGGGCACTGCTCAGTGGCTGCCGGGCTCACGATCAATTGGGCAAAAAGAATTTCTATTTTCGGTTTAACTTAATAAAATTTGGAGTAGACTTTAAAAGATTATTATTATTATTATTATTATTATTATTGTTATTATTATTATATCATAAGAAAAGGGACACTTATTAGAATGGGAAGGGGCATTTATTACAAAGGACAGATGAACTTGTCAGAGGTGAAGGTTGCACTTATCAGTGGTGGTAAGAAGCACTTATAAGAATGTGGAACGGGCATCTTTAAGAAAAAAAAAGGGACACTTATCTGAAGTAAAAGGGCGCACTTTTTCTTTGTAATAGGGGTACTTGACAATACTTGACAAATGTGTGGGGGCACTTTACTTGGGTAGATGAAAACAGAAGTTAAAGTCCAAATTTTGTAAGAAACTATTCTATCCAACCCCCCCCCCCCCCCCCCCCGCACCATCTTTCCCCTTCCCGGAGCGCCGCCTCGGGTAAAAATAAATTAAATTACACAATTAAATTCAATAGTCTTTTTTTGCTTTGTTATTTCAAATTTTAAGAGCGTATATTACTGAGTGTAAGGATTATTTTTGCCCGTTAAATAAATAAATGTCGCCAACTTTGGGGTCCTTTTAGGAATCACAAATCATGTGCCTTTATGCGAAATACACAAAAGGAAAGGAAAGTCATACCCATGTACTCTTGCTACAACAATCATATTGCCAGTCACTTTCGTAGCATCGACCTGTAGCGGATGCACTGATGGCGCTTACGATCATCACTCCACCCGACCCAGCTGCCGTTAAGATACTTAGCACAAGGTAGGCAATAATCTAGACAAATAGAATAAAATAACGAGGAAAGAAATATGGATATTACGATAATGAAGTAATTCGAAGCACCGTTTATGTCCGTTTTATAAGCATAAATACCAAATGATCCTATCGTATATTTTTTTAATTGAAAAATGTTGTTTGACAAATTTCAAACACTAAAGTTTTAAAAACAGCGTTCGAAATCATCTACCTAGTTTAGAAATCTAGTTTAGTCTGAAATCTCAGGATTACATCAAACAGGGATTGATCTAGAACTGTGCAAAGGACGGAGCCAACTTCATATTTTTCGAGACAAATTTACAAATTGGAAGATGAATATTCAACTTGTTGATCACATGTAAACACGTTGTTCCATAATGTGGATGGAAGTATGAACTGGCTACATTGAGAAAGGAAGAAATGAAAGAAAGAAAGAAAGAAAGAAAGAAAAGAAAGAAAGAAAGAAAGAAAGAAAGAAGGAAAGAAGGAAAGAAGGAAAGAAAGAAAGATCGAACGAACGAATGAAATGAATGCTTACAAGGTTAGCGTTCTTCTTGTAGCTGCTGATGATTCCAACGACTCCACATGGAATGAAGACCTAAACACAAAACATTGGATATAAAATCATTTGGAACAATCTTAATTTAAAGTATGGATTTTTCATCATGGTGAAAACAAAATCATTTTTTGTATTTGAGAATAATATCTTACCAACGTCTGCACCAAGAAAAAACAGAGGCCTGTCGTTAAACAATTCATACGACAGGCACCCACTTCTGCAACGTTCAAATCTTTACGAAAAACGCACCTCTTTGGCCTTAATTAATTAGCTTAAACTATCCTTACTTACGATATTTGTTTTGACCATGTTAGCTATCTCTTTATTATGTTATTTACTATGTTAAAGCTTATCTGCCATAGTTTACAGGAGGGATTAGACCGCCCTACAAGTTCACTGGACAGGTGGTTATCTCATCAACTCAGCTCTCAGTTAACATAAGAAAAAGAGGATCATGGGGGACCAATGGTCACCGATTAGGCATTGTTTGTCATATAGAGGGCGCAAGTAGCTACAAGTATGGCAGTGGGCCTTTAAGTTAGTCATTTTAGTAGTTATAAGATTTGTATATTTCTCTGTGTTGATTCCTTTTATGTGATTATATTTCTCGTCATTCATGATTGTACAGCGCCTAGAGAAACTTTTTGTTTATTATGCGCTTTACAACTATTGTATTATTATTATTATTATTATTATTATTAATATTATTATTATTATTATTATTATTATTATTATTATTATTATTATTATTATTATTATTATTATTTTGTCTAAGAAAAACAAATGCCTGACATGTGGCACTGAAATAATACTTTTTAGTATGGGCGTCCTCTATCTTTCCATAGAGGAATTTTCAAAAATCATGATTTTGTTACCGATTAATACTGATTTTTTTTCTTCAAATTTAAAAGGATTCGTTTAGATCTTCATTTTCCTTTAAATTATTTTCAAATTCATAAACGTGAAGTAAATTCAGGAATATTACACTAGCTTAAAGCAATGGAGTGCGGAAATAAAACAATGAGTCCCGCACATCCTGATGTTAAGCATCCACTCTGTGAAGGCAAGATATGTACCGCCATTAATTATACCTCTGTATGGTAATTCAAACATATAAAAAATTACATTCATAATAGATATTTAAACACGTGTGACAGGGATCAAAGTGTTAACTTACCAAAGCAGAACACCATATTCCTGATCCATATCTTCCGATCCCAGACTCCAGAACAATCTGAGCAATGGCTAAGATAACACAGCACACAGCACCACAGAAGATCAAGTAGCCCGTTACTCTGGCGGAAAGGACGTTGTAGCGTCCCGTTGGGTTCCTAAGATGGCTCCCTGGATTCATCTGATATCCAGGAGACTCAGAAGATGTAGCCCCTATCTCCATGGTCATCTATAAACTGCTGACAATAAATCGTAAAGAAGGTTAGGAACAGTAGGGAATTGGTACCTTGTAATATTGCAGTATGTGGAGCTTCGGCGCAGTTCAAATCGAAACTATGTAATTAAGAATAAGAGATAGGAGTTGCAATTAATTTCAAGTTGCGATTGGACACCAGAATTCATCAAAACTCATAGATATAATATCGAGGTATCGGACATAATATTGTTTACCATACCTATATGCTGTGCCTGTTCAATCCAATAACGTTTTATTATAACAGTATGATTGCTAAAACAAATAGCGTGTATTAAAAGCGTTAAAGTGGAATCAAATAATGTCCACTTTACATGGCGGGAAACTCTCTGCCAATTGAGTCATGTAACAGTCAATCACGCTATACGCTATGTTCTGCTTGAACCTGTACATTCTAGCTCTATTGTGGAAGAGTTAAATTCTCACCTGGAGTAGGGATTGACCTGAAACATCAACTGCTCGGCTAAAAAATGTAATCACAAAATGTACAGTAAGCTGAGATGGCAATTTAAGTAAATGATGATTTAAAAAAACTACAACAAACAAATAAAAGAACAAAGAAATGAACAAACAAATACAAGAACAAACAAACAACAAAATAAAAAAACTTACTCTTGAAGATAACGATGAATACAAACGTCCCAGCAGGTTATCACTTGTCGTTATAGAAGCACAGGTAGGAAAGTAAATATCTGACTGATGTGACAGTTGAATCAGTTTTTAATCTATGTGAAGCTTAATACGATGGCTTATAGCTATATAGTCGTCAGTAAGTTGGAGGAGGGGCATGGGGCTTACCATTTGAAGTAAATGCAAACTTGACCGAAAATGATATGGTTTGAGGTCTGTATCTTCTCTCAAATCCTATTCCCGCTTTTCCCTTTCTTCTTTTTATCGCACGTTCTTACTTGTTTAATTTGCAGCCATTCGAAGGGGGATCTACAAGCCCCCCCCCCCCCAGCCCCCCCCCCCATAGCTACGCCACCGTTGGTATATATCTATCAGCCTTATCATCACCATCATGCGAAATGTGCACGCCACAAACCCACCTTTTAAGAGGAAGCGATTTAATTTCCACATCCATCCAAGGTTTAAAAACCATTTATAGTTAACAAAAATAATCCTAGCTTAGTTGTCATGGTTATTGGCGTATATCGTAATGATTTCCACCGTTCATTGAACTTTTCTTGCGAATTTGGTATGTGACTTGACTCAATGCCAATATCTCTTCGTGATGTTTTGATTGAAACACGAAAATCAAACATATTCAACATTGCGTGAAAATTGGCTCATAACCGCTAAATAACATAATTATCTTGACATTGAATAACGTAGGATCGGGGAACTTATATTGGCAATCAAACAGATTGAAAAGTATTAATCTCCTAGCGACATTTTACTCTTAATCTTGAATGTATTATTTGTTATTGAATATGGCTCTCTGCAATGCTTTTGTAGATTCACATCGTTATCGCTGTCGTTATCATCAACCATCTTTTCTTTGTTACATGCAGACTCATATGCCGGACCTAAAGCAGTCAATTCCACTAACAACAAAACGGAATAGAGCTCCCTCTACTGGCAGTAAATTCAAACGGGTCAATTTGATACCCCCCCCCCACACACACACACACTTATGTTCAATTTGTTTAAAAGTTATTAGAATAAAAGATGTTGGATTCCCATTTGACTTTTTGTGGTAAGATGTAAGAACGTCATGACAAGGGTAATTAAGGAGGATGGGGGAGCCCGCATTAATGTGAATGCGGGATGGGGGGGGGGGGGGGGGGGGGGAGAATGGTTTCGTACACAATTTGGACTTCAACCTTTTTTTTAAATTTACCCAAGTAAAAATGAGATGAATTTTTTATTCCGGACACAAACATACAGAAAGCGGCAGCAAGCGAAACAAATCAAGTTTTTATTTATTGTGGTGAGTTGTATGAACGTCATGATAAGAATAATTAATGAGGGTAGGGGTATTAACTTTTTTGGAACTTACGGGAAAAGGTGAAAAGGTCGTTTTGCTGAAGCTTCTGTTTAATTTGTTCGAGTATTTAAATTTATCCAATGGAGTCTGTGTTACAGACTAAGATTTCCATGGCATAGATCAATGATGATTACTCGATCAAAATCATCACGACCTATTTATGTCTCCTCTTTGACGACAGGCCTCTTTGTTTTCTAGGTGCAGACGTTGGGATGATATTATTCTTAAATATGAAAAATTGTTTTGTTTTCACCATGATGAAGAACCCGTACTTTAAACTAATATTAACATAAAGTTATCTCTTGTCACAGTTGCCCTATTTTGTACATTTGACAGAAGTATTACGTAACTTCATAAGTGTATTGTGTTTAACAAAAAATATAATTGATGACAAATTCAACCAAGAAATGAACGAAGCCTCAGAAGAGACTATTTCCACGCAGGGATCTAAACCTGATGAGTGATTTGCCTCATCCCAAGCCGTTCAAAGAAAATAAATCGGGATTACCAGAGTTTAGTCCAAATTTCAATAACGCGACGTTGTTTTCGTTGATATTTTGTTGTTCGCATGATAATCTTTGCAGTTCTTCATGGGTGGTTCTAGGTGAGTTGTGTAAACTGTTGAGTTCTTCAAGCGATGATATATTGGCAATGGGAGATGGAGATTTTAAAGATTAATATGTACAGTAAAGAATATATTGAGATCAGTCTCTATACTGTCAATAGGTATATTAAAAAGAAGAAAGAAATGTTCGTAAGCCTCTATCCGAAAGGAAAGTTTTTTTTTTATCTAAGCACTTCAACATTTTCATGACGATTAGTTCCCGAAAATTCGTAACAGACCTGAATAAAATCGTAAAGACCACTCACAGAAGACAGGAAGCGTGGACCTTATAGGCATGTCTTATATACGGGTTCTTTCAATTCAGGTTTTATTGATAACACATCATTTAAGGAAACAGGAAATGTTGCCATGAAATACAGATAGTCGCTAATTAAGCCGCTTTGACAGCAATTAACAATATAAATGTGAATGAAGGGAAAAGGCAAGCGGGAGATAAAGAAAGGCGGAAGGAGGGAGAGAGGGATATAGAGGGTTTGATGTTTGAATGGGAGGGAGAGAGAGGGAGAGGGGGAGAGAGGAATGAGAGAGGAGAAGGGGGTTGAGAGAGGAAAATAAAAAGACAGGGAGCGGGGAGAGTGAGTGAGAACAAATAATTGTAGCAAATGCGGATGAAGATTTTGATTCATTTCGCCGGAATCTTAATGAGGACATCGCTCTCAAAATTTGCCTAATCCTTCCCTGTCAAAGAGCACACATTATCTCCTGTCCAAAAATGGGTTAGGGAGGGGGTCAGTGTATGACAATGGGGTCATTATCGGGGTTAATAATGACTCATTATTCTGATTGACAGACAGGCAAACAAAAGTTGTAACCTCGAGAGTTTGGTTGATGAGAGCGGTCACCAAGCAGGAGGGTTTGTTAGGGCCTCTGTTCTGCAGCTGCAACTAAAACGGCAGTTTCTTTAGGATGAAGATGGTACTCGAAACGGACCATAGCCTACCTACTATTTCGAGGATGGTTAAGGGTGTTTGCGGGGCACGGGATCTTTTTCAAGTGCATCGAGTGGAGGAAAACAATTCGAGAGAGGGAGAGAGATAGTGTGTTGTGAGAAACAGATTGTTTAAAAGGTGGCCACTGCGTGGTTACTTGATACGACATAACATAACTACGCCTATATTATACCAAAGCCCCTTGGTGACAGAAGAGAGCGATGTAGAAGAAATAGAGAAAGAAATACAAGCCACATGAACAAAATAAAACAAATTAAAAGCAAGCACACAATGTGAAGCACCCCCACCCCAAACATATATAAGTATATGAAATTAATAAATAGATTTTTTAGTTTCGTTTTTACTAAAAAACTGCTTTGACAAGCAATTAAACACCCCCTACAAAGTGGTATAAAGAGGGGCACTGGATCCCAATCACCCCTCCCCTGGATCCGTATGTGGTATCCGTGTGATAATATATTGGCTGCCTCAAATTGACGTGAAGATATGTCAAAGGTTAAATCAGAATGTGATTTTGATGACATCTTGCTTCACAATTCTGCATTAGTGTCCCATCGCCAGTGGCCATGGTGACACTGACTATCTTTCTTTATAATTGGCACTCTGTGACACTGCCAAGTCACTTGTCGCTTACAACATTTCTTCAGGTCATCAATCATAACAAGCTGTTGGATCATATTTTTTGGAAGGATTTTCTATCTTTCGCTCTTTCATTGCGTTCATGGAGTCGTATGTCATGTTTTTAAGCCCTCTTTGTCGCTTTTCATTCTTTTTTGTTGTTGTAAAGTTTGAACTTATGTGGACCCATGGTTTATATATTCCTTGAACGTTAAGTGTTGGAGGGGAGGGGATTGAGGAAGAGTGGATTAGGGGGAGGCGGAGAGGATGAGATAGGCTTCAACTTTTGATTTAAAAAAGAAATCCAACCTTTTAAGTTATTGATTTGAAGGGATGCAGAGGATCTTGGTAACAGAGGAAAAGTGTTAGCGAAATCGGATAAACAAATGAAAAGTTCTAAACATGAAAAAAGGTCAGTCCTTCTATTTAAAGAAATATTGAGTTCTAGTCATTCAATTGCAATTTCATGAAATAAAGTCATGCGCACTGTAAACAGAAATGTGTTGGAACAAAACAAACATATGGCATAAACATTCCAGCGTTATATCTTGCAATCTTACGTATATGACTACATTTGAAGAGCCATCCTATGTATGTGACCTTTATTCTATGACTTTCTGTCACCTACATATTCAGCAGAGTGAAAAGGGCTACTAATAAATTCTTGAATTATGCTAGCACCTTTCCCAGATATCAACCGCCTCTTTCATAATCGCTCTTCTTCTGCAAGTGGTGGTGAATATGTTTTGTTTCATAAGATGGACGATGAAACGACTGAATGAACCAAATTGAATAGAAATGATTCTTGGATATAAACGATGTTAGATCTAAAGTTATAATGGGTGTAGGTGAGATTGCGCTAGTTGATTAAGAGACATCTCAGTTGGAAGGAGGG